GTGCGTCGTTAGGCAAAACATTCGGTTGATGATCGCTCGACGCGCTCGCTGCCGCGTTGGTTTGTCGGCCGCGCTGCCGCTCGAGTCTGTTGCCCTACCGCGTGAGGAGCAAGAGAGACGCGCACATACGTTTCTCGTCGTTCCGATTTGCTCCAATTCGCGCACCATCATCGCTCCTCGACACATCGGTACGTCGATGCGTTACGGCGCCGATCATCGCGCGTGACGTGCCGCGAAGGTGATCGTGAAGGCTGCTTACGTCGAGGCGCGGATAATCGACGCGGATAATTGTACCCTAAAACGAAAAGCTCGTGGCCATCTCGAAACTTGTAAAACCTTTCCCATAGCAACACCGGAACTAGGACCGAATATCCTTACGGCGCGGAGCCGCAAAGCGCGCTTCTGTTACTCCCCCTAATCATCGTCCATTTCCTGCGAGAACTGTTACGCCCGCTCATTAAACTTGCCATCGCCGCTCGAACGTACCGGGAAAGACGTAAATTAAATTACACGAGGATTAAAGTACACCGTGTGGCGAACCCAATTCACGTGGAAGGGCGTACGCGCCGCGCCGCGCCGTTGAGAAGCGGCCGCGGTTGAGATATTTTCCTGAATCAGTGCTAGCCGCTCGTTGCCGCGCTTTTATTTTGTCGCGTTGATGATCATTCACCCGCGACGATTGAAATAAAATCACCGCGATACGTATATATCGCACCACTGGCACAGAATACGGCTGCGATATCAAGAGCGAATATAGACTTCGCTTCAAGAGAAAATCATAGAAGAATCTTAGAAATTTAGAACAATAGGAAAAACGATTTTTTCAGAAATGTGAAATTAATATAACGCGATTATTAATTTATCTGTGATACACATTTATAATAATATATTTTTATAATAAACTATTTTTTGTTGTTGTATAAATTATGCAAAATTTTAGTTTAATAGCTGAAAAAGATGAAACTAAAAAAGATTTTAAATTGTTATTTATTTTTTTTTTAAAGTGCCATAAAATATAAAAGCATTTATACAGGCGCTAAATGGACAAAATAGGTAATTTTTATTAGATTATTTCTATGCGTTGCATTTAGTATTACGTTACAAGAAAATCTCTGCAATTATCGCGCTTATGATTGATGCAAGTCAATGTTGATGAATTAATTGCAACGATTAAAGCGATGCGAGCTATGCAATCGTATTACAAAATCGATCTCTTTAATTCTCCAGCACTATGAAGCTTCCTTCGGACATTTGTTTTTAACACAAGACATATGTGTGTGTGTGCATGTGTGTGTGTGTATGCGGCCAAACGGAACGCGAATAGGTCGCGTGAACTTGTTACGAACGTGAGAATCTTGAGATGCATTTGCTGTCGGATGAGAACGATTAAGCAGAAATGAGAGAAGACGAGTAACTATGATGACCGCTAGTCGTTACGGAATATTTCTTTGGTAGGTGACGTGCGTTGGGAACGCGGCTATATCGGCCGCGGAATGCTTTTCTCGGGGAACGCATAGGGACGCGAAATAATCCTAAACAATGAACCGTACGTTCTTGCCTCTTACCACGAGACAGGGACTCCGCGTCGTTTTTACTGCATTCGAAACCTCGTTCGTCATATGTATACCATTACGTTGCAACTCACCGAGTTTTGCAACCGTGTCTGTCGATTATTATTTAATGGGCATTAGCTTGCATTTATTGACCATTGCACTTGTAATATCTGTAACGCGATTGCGTTAATTGCATTACGCTCCTATATCGCTGCTGATTACCTACTGTAATTTCATCACTAATATCAATTTGCGACGATTCGTAGCGAGCCTCCTGATGCGACGCAGTAATAACTAAACGTGCATGTATAAAAATTTCAATCGAGATTACCCGTTTCGCGGTATCATCGACGTTTGTGTGTAGGTATAAGAAGCATAAAGTGCATAAAGAGTTACGTTAGACTTATAGGGTATACGGTGTCTCTTTCGAATAGTCGTGTACACATCTCACGCGTCACGTGGCACGTGCCTGGGAACTGGGAAGTCAAACAGAGAGGAGAGATCCCGGGGCATTACGAAATCCCGTCACGACCGTGAATGCTAATGGACCCGCACTTGAGTGATTCGCCTTTAAATCCAACGTAAATATACGACTTGCGGACTCCGTGTATAAAAATCGAGTGATCCGCGCGCGCGTGTTGATGTTGCTCGTCTCGCATTTCCAAATATTTTAATTAAACAACGCAGACACGACTGTATATAAATCGCGCTGATAGTTTATTCCTATTCGTATTCATTTCATTAACGTCGGCGTATCGCTGGAGAAACATATTTACGAGCGATATAATTTTATGGCCCCCCGACGTACATATACAATATTCGTACTTACATTATTCCTGTAGCGTATCTATCCAGGCGCAAAAATGCATGCCCCGCGAACTAAAGATTCGATCGTTATAAATATTAATTCGCGTTCTCTTCCTTTAACACGCGAGCTCTCAGGCGAACGCTCATCGCAGCAGCTAATGGGTAAATCCGCTATCGACAGCGTGGCTGTACCTCATACGACTATCCGGCGGTCATGAGCAGATCGATAAACGCGATTTGAAATCCGCGATCACTGGGTCATCCGGCGCTTCTTCTTGCTCGTCCTTGGTACATGTTCTGCCTCAAGTGGCAGCGACCGCAGCTACCGGTGCAGTGAGAGAAGTCGCGGCCAGCCAGCGACAGTTCTATATTCTGCCTCTCTTGACCTTGTCCCAGAGCGGCCTCCGGCGCGAGCACTGCCTCAAGAGCGTGTAGAAGTAGACTTTGTACAACCCCGATTTTACAACGGCCGTTTAAATAGAAAAGCCGGAAGTCAAATTTAACATACGCACATATACATGTGTTGTATAATTTTTCTTTTTTAAATTATACGTTTGAAAAATTTGAAAAATTTCATATTAAACGTCGGCTCGTTTGAGTTTCCGATTGAAATTTTATTTTAACACTGCACATACCGAAAGTAATTATTTAAATAATATTATCATGTAAATAACACAATTTGTAATAACATCATAAAATTTCGAAAACTTCCTATATGAAATCAAAAAAATAAAGTATATCATAAAAATATGTATTAATAATCAAACATGAATTAAAGGCTGTTTCAGTTTGTCAGATACTTAGGCATCTAACAAACATCTAATATTTATTGAAAATTTGTCAATTAATAAAAGAAAAATGTTTACTTTTTATAAATCACCTATATGTATGTAAAAACTTGGAGTACAAATTTTAATTTTTCTAACAGAAAAAGAAATATCCATTTGTCAGAACGTATCCAACTTGTGCATCTATTTCCTCTAGATATCGAAAAAGTTACCCAAGACGCATATCCGGGATTTTCGCAAAAGTTACGCAAGACGCGATGCGTCTGATAGAATTATATTCAAGACGCAACTCTTATTCGTCATACTCCGATTTCAAGGAAGTTACAAAGAATCGAGTTTTATAGACCTGGGAATATCCGCTTGAAAAATGGCCAAAAAAGGTGCACAAACGATAAAGGTAGCATGTAATAATTGCACATAAATACCTCGATTTCTCAGACGGCTTTTGCGCGTCTGTTGAATATACCTCTGCAAGAATGCGAGGAATATTCGAAACGCAATTCGGTGAAGATAATTCCAATGATGATGACGAGACAGTTCCAAGACGATGGTATCCTCGATCCAGCATTCGAAAGCGAGCGACGCTGCGTCGATGACCTGGAATGCTGGGCCCAGAATTCGGTGACAAGTCGGTCCAGGGTACCTTTTTTGTTCCTACCGACGCGTCTTAGCGTGTATCCGATGCACCTGTCGCGCCGTCGAGATACCATCGTCGATCCCGGATCGTTGCCAGCAAAACGATAGACTAGAAATCACGAATTCTTTGTACGGCCCTCGAAACGTTCTGATGGTTTATAGGATGCACGTGTCGGCGGTATTTTCGCCGAATCCACGCTCTATACAATTGCAGCATTAAACTATAAACTTGTAATTTAAAGTAAAAATTTAATTAAACTAAGCGAAAGCTTTATATGTAACAACCGTTCAATGTACAAATGTGAAAGAATGGTATTGCATCACGAAGTGAGAATAAATCTGAAGCTTGCCGGACCTATTTTAAATTCTCCTATTTATATCAGATCTATATTAAATCTGCATGAAGTTTAAGGAATTTACTCAATATAGATTTCCATTCTTACTCCGAACGTCTCAATTTAAATATATAAATCAGGTAAAAAATATCGAACCTTAAACTTCTTGGATCTTTGGTCAAGTATTTAAGTTACTACTGACTGAACATACAAGTTTTATTTTATTCTGTTACTTTTACCTTCTTCTTCCTCGTCTCTCCTCCAAACATATCATTGAAAGCAAATACGCACTACGGAACTTAAAGCACGCAGTTAGTTATTCCATATGAATTCCTCTCTCGTAAGTAATTATATTATATAAATTAAAACCATTTTGTAGAATATGCAAGGAATTACGATACTTAAATGTTGCGTGATCTTTGCGATACGCTCGTAACGATTTACTTATTCGTATAGTTTCACTGACAATGAGAGAGAAAAAACGCGCGCTGCGCAGTGGGATTAGATACGTCTCTGAAAGGGTTAATACGAGAAGCGTGCAACGGGAAAGTGAACTAGAAAGGAGTGCGGCCAGACAATAGACAATGGACGAAAGAGTGAGCGTAGATGCTCGCATGCTGCTGACAAGCTCTTAATATATAGAATTACAAAATTTACACTGCCTGTCCGCGCTGCGCGATCGACGTAGTAGAGCGCGGCTGTTGAACAGCACCGCGTGCGGCTCTCGCGTGACTCCCCGAGATTTACACGTTCTCTCGAGGGGGATGAGCCGCTCTAAATTGACACGTGACGATGACGATAAGTAGCCGACCGCGGACGGAATAGATCGGCCACCGAATTAACGATGGACGTTTCTTGTGTTTTTTTTTTCAGGGATCAGGATGCGGTGGATCGGTTACGTGGCCACGATTCTCTGGTGGTCGGGCATCGCCAGGTCTCTCAGCACGCTGAATCGAGGTCACAGTCAGTAATATTCCTTTTGGTGATTTAAACGCGCCGATTTCGGGCATCCGCGGGCGGATACTCCCTGCAGTAGTACGTCTCCTTTCGGTGCCGCGCGTGGATACCCACCCTTCGTCTCCCTCGCGCGTCGTCGTCTCTTCCGAGTACGTACTTTCGCGAGCGGCCGAATGCAGCTGCCGTTCCTCTCCTCTCTTTCCTTCCTTCTCCCCCTCTCCCGGGCGGCCCCCGTCTTCCTCTCGCGCTCGTCCTCCCTTTGCATTGGCATCCTTCTCCCGCCCGAAGGTTCTCCTTAAATGTATAACGCTTAATTGGAAGGAGAACTCGGTCAAGGTGCAGTCGGTCGTGCACGAGCGTGAGAAAAGAAAAGCGAAAGAAGGCGCTACTTTCTTTTTGTTTCGACGAATCCCCGACCGAAGGGAGAAGCTTCTTTATCTATTTTTTTTTCCTCCTCTCCGCTCTCAGATAATTGGCTCGCGCAGTCAGCTGTGAGCTTTGCGGCGAAAACGCGGCTCTAGATGTTCGTGATGGGAGTAAATTTGTCGAATTAAGTCAATTTTGCAATCAGATATAGATCGGAATGATCGATAACAAATCGCAATATACGTATATAGCGATAATATAATGTTAACGTTAATTTACACAATTTGTAATTTTTGTTGCGAGATCCGTGTCGGGTCGACGAATGTCACAAACGTTTAATTTTCGAATATCGAGTCCGTAGTTCAAACGCGCGCCCCCGCAATAAAATCTTCCTAATGTGGCCGCTTCCCCTTTATAACGTAATGCATGTCGCGAGGCTGACACGATCGTGTTTCTAGCGGTGAAAGCGACTGCGTGAAGCTCCTACATCGCCGCGCGGTCGTAATTTACGTTACCCGAGTCTTACCGTGACTCGGTTAATGACTCGGGCCCAGGTCTACGTACTCCTTCCAGTTATTAAGTTTCATTTTTTTTTACACGATCTCTCACGCGTGCTTCGACAAGTGGTACACTTTCACCGAACTTGACGGCGAGGTAGACCCCATGTGTAACATGCAAGACAGTCTAATTGTCGAGCACGGTATGACCTATCGTGCGGTATCGTGCGACACGATGTCACGCGACGTCATCCTTTAGTACGCCCGTCAGGTTTAATGCATGTAATCTCGTTACCCGCGGCGGGTTTCGCCCGGATTTTTCGGGGGGCGATGCATAGAAACGGAGAGAGAAGGAGAGAGAGAGAGGGGGGGGGGAAGGGTCTCTCGCGAAATTATAAGTTGTTAAATTCGTCGAGACAGTATGATCGACGTTAGCGCGCTTTCATCGCACATTTAACGTTACACGCTGTCTGACTTCGGTATCCCGACGTGAGAAATGTATGTAATGGAGACGTGAGATTAAAGTCAGTTACGTTTAACGGAGAGCGCACGTAAGAAATAAATGAGATATTCGTCGTTTGTCGGCACGGGTTTCTTAATACCTTTAAAGACGTATAGCCCAAGGGCGCTCCGCGCCGGTCGTCGAAAGATACGTGGAACGCCTGAAAACAGTCGATCTCTTTTCCATTTTCCACGCAGGTTACAAAATCACTCCGAAACCCTGCAAAGTGCCCGGTTCGGAGAGCAAGGAAGGCACGTGCATGTTCGTGTGGGAGTGCATCAAGTCCGAGGGGACGCACGTGGGTGTATGCGTGGACACCTTCATGTTCGGCAGTTGCTGCGTTCACAACACGACGGTGAACACGATAGGCGCGTCTCATCGTCCTCATCACCAGCAGCAGCAGCAGCAACACGGCGGTACGACGAGTACACTCAGGCCAGGTTTACCCCTGGCGGAGTCAACCGCGAACGAGACCATCAGACTGACGTCGACTTCCCTGCTGGGCTACCCCTCGACAGCGTCGAGCACCGCGAAGCCGAATCTCCATCATTCCTCGGGATCCCACGGCTCCGGCGGAGGCTCGACCAGACCGATGAAACCGTATTCGCACGGTGTCGGCAGGCCCTTGCACAAGAGGCCGCACGCCAAGCCGTCGTCCGAGCACGACGTCGGCGTACTGAAGACCCCCGCGGTGTCCTCCGCGTCTACTAGCACGTGGACGGAGGGTAGGCCGCAGGGAACAAAGAGACCGGGTCATCACGCGGGTCATTCTCACCACAAGACCAGACCGGCCGACGAAACGCCGGACCGCGACAAACCGTCGCCCGTTCTGAGCCAACCGGGTTTCAAGGACAAGCTGGATACGCATAACACTTTAATAGTGCGCTTGCCGGGGAAGGAGCACGCCGACGATGAGGTCGTTGGTTCGAGTGGCCTGAGCAAACCGAACAAGCAGGGCAAACCGGGTAAACCGGGCAATCAAAGGCCCTTTGAGTCGCGGCCGGATGACGGGAAGACCGAAGACGTCGATCTCAGCGTGCAGGAGACGATAAATCGACCGAATGTCAATTCCGTCATTGAAAGCGTAAGGAGGGAAATTGATTATTATAACTCACGATGACTCTATGATTATAACTCGTGATTCAGCGAGATGATTTTAAAAGGATTTCTTGTATAACATTCTTCTCATATCGCCGACAGTTCACTCTCTTCGAATCAGTCAAACGTCTAATTTTCAGAGTTGATTTAAATTTAAGTTTTTTTCATCCATTTTGATAGACAGTTATAATAAAATTGTATAAAGATAGAAGTATAACAAAAATTGATTTGATTTACATATTTTATCTAGTTTTCGTGCTAGCAAATACATATTTCCGTCCTTATGTATATATTGCACTTATTAACAAATTCGAAATGACTGATATCAATGTTTGAAGGAAATTTAATAAAAATGCTTTAACTGTAAAATATGTGCAGTTAAAGGAAATATTTACACGCAGCTAGCAGAGCTATTTTTGGTGCGGCATAAGCAGCGAGCTTAATGGAATATCGATTTTCCGCCAGGAAACGGGGAAAGAGCCGCATCCAGGTTTGAATTTCGTGCACACCGAACGGCCGCACTGGGCAACCAAGCCAGCGCAGACGAAGCCATCGTCGACGGACTTCTCCAAGCCGTATTTCTCAATCAAAACAACCACTTACCGACCAGTGAGCAGTCATCCGGATCATAGGCCGAATTTTATCTCGAGGCCCAACTGGGTACTGTCCACGAAGACGTCGACGACAACGACTGTCAGGCCGACGTACGCCAGGCAGCCCTCTACCAGGTATGCAACTGGTTTTTAAGTTATTCTGCTGCAGTACGTATGTAAATATATCGTTTCTCTTCCAACAGTTTCTGCTACATGTACACATTATCGCGCAAAAGATTTACGCTGTACGTTATGTTATCATTATCACGTGGAGTACATGTATTTACGTACATTGCGTAACGAGTCCAACTTCAAATTTATCTTTCATTCTAGCGCAGCCGGATCCGTGCCACAAACCTCTCACTGGCAAGTGACCACGGAACCGGCGTTCGTCACAAAACATAAGCCGTCGTCGCTGTCCTCGGCGGCGTCCTCATTCTCGTCGTCCTTGCCAACATCGTACTCCCCGCTCTCGTCGTCGTCGTCGTTGTCGTCGTCGTTGTCATCGTCCTCGTCATCCAAACCGATAACCGCGAATACCGTGCCGGAGACGGTCCGAATTCCGTCTTTAGGCACGAGTTCCCATTTCTGGTCGAACAGCTGGACACCACCTAGACCGTCGTTGAAACCACACTGGACCGACAGTCCCAGTCTTCTTCAGAATGGCCCGGAAAGCTTTCCGCCGCGACCGAGCCTAAAGCCGACCGAGTCACAACAGGTATGAGTTTCCTCGCTTTGACAGGAATCGATTATTAACATTATTTATCATTACAATAATTCTCTACGTCTCGTGTTTTCACGTGTTCATAATACACCTTCGTTATCTAATTTTGGAAAAACAATTGGACCTTATAACGTTATATATAACGTTAATCCATTAATGTTTCGTGATATGTGCTTTTCGTTTTGCAGAGCACCGAGTATCAAAAGCCTTTGGGCTCGGCGCACTACATAACGACGTCCCACTTGGAGACTTCAACTAGGCCGCGGCCCACGAAGAAAACCACAATACAAAGCACGACGCCGTCCACACTGGCGTTCTCCGCCAGCGGTACAACCAGTCCGACGACCGCGACGGTAACGATGACGACCGCGAGCAGCACGACCGGCGCGAGTAGCATGAGTGCCACGAGCAGCGTCACCACGACGCATGGATCGTCGACCACCACCGAGGTGGCGGCGAGCGAGAAGGCGACGGGCTCGGTGATGACGGTCGCGGCCGCCGACGAGAGCAAGAACATGCAGTGCGGCGTGCCGCCGCTGTTCCCGCGGCCGGAAACGAGGATCGTCGGCGGCAAGGACGCGTCGTTCGGCCGATGGCCCTGGCAGGTGTCCGTCCGCAGAACCTCCTTCTTCGGCTTCTCGAGTACCCACCGTTGCGGCGGCGCGGTGCTCAACGAGAATTGGATCGCCACCGCGGGCCACTGCGTCGACGAGTGAGTAACACCATCCCCGTCTCTTTTGTCTTTCCGATTACGACGTGCACCGTTAAACCCCGTCTCCGTTTCAGTTTGCTGACGTCGCAAATCCGGATACGAGTCGGCGAGTACGACTTCTCGTCGGTACAGGAGCGGCTGCCCTACGTGGAGCGCGGCGTCGCCAAGAAGGTCGTACATCCCAAGTACAACTTCTTCACGTACGAGTACGATCTCGCGCTGGTGCGCCTCGAGAGTTCCCTCACGTTCGCCGCGCACATCTCGCCCATCTGCCTGCCGGCCACGGACGACCTCCTGATCGGGGAGAACGCGACGGTAACCGGCTGGGGAAGACTGAGCGAGGGTGGAACGCTGCCCTCGGTGTTGCAGGAAGTAATTATCGATTTACTTGACGATTAAATCCTCGGTACATTTAAATTCCTGCGACTTTTATTATTTTCTTCTCTTCAAGGTCTCCGTGCCGATAGTGAGTAACGACAGGTGCAAGTCGATGTTCTTGCGGGCCGGCAGACACGAGTTTATACCGGATATTTTTCTCTGTGCCGGTTACGAAACCGGCGGGCAGGATTCGTGTCAGGTACGTGCGTGCGTGTCTATAATCGGACTGTTTGCCGTTGCTTCACGTTTCAAAGTTTCCGTTTTCTGAGACTTTCGCGTTCTTGTCATCACGCAGGGCGACTCCGGAGGGCCTCTGCAGGTACGCGGAAAGGACGGCAGGTACTTCCTCGCTGGTATCATATCCTGGGGCATCGGCTGCGCGGAGGCCAACCTACCGGGCGTCTGCACGCGGATATCCAAGTTCGTACCATGGATTCTGAAGAATGTCACCTGATTCACTGGACGATGAAACGCGAAGGGGACGGCACAAGTCAATTCATCGCGCAAATGAGCGATTCACGGTGTCGTCTCGTGCGATATCAAAAGACATTATCCTAGATTTTTTTCACGCGAATGAAAATACGCCTTCTATATCGTTTGCATTTATTTATTTGCATTTACACTGCCACTCACGGAATAAAGATCCTGGTTGCTATATGTATGAAAAAAAAAAACTATAATACATCGCGCAAGAAGAGGTGAAATAAGATCCAGCCGGGACTTATTGAATATATATACTGACGTATGTGAAATTTCGTGCGTTGTAGCAGCATACTGAACTGTATTTATACATAAAAGTAAGTAAGGAAATAATATATTTGCTTAAGATTAAGGCTAAATAAACGAGGGAAGTCTGAATTATGTAATAAAAAGATCAAAGGAGTAGCCCGATAGATTTCAAAGATACATCGTTATCATTCTTGCCACTTTGCTCCGAGTATGAGATACGATACATACACACACACACACATACACATATATGCTGAAAAGAAATTAAGGATGAATCGTAAATAACATAAACGCTGCCCACCTTGATGTTGCAAAACCTGTTTTAAAGCCAGACACTGTCAATCCTGTAACTTACAGTTAAACAAATTCAATCCGAGCTGAAGAAAACCAGTGAAAAGTGTGAATTTTCATAATTATCACGATTTTAATTCTCATAGTTTTCGCAACGTTTCGCACGATAAGTATCTGCTTTTATTAATTAGCAAGATGTATAGAAAGTTTACCCTTTTCGCTCTGCGGCGTGAGATAGCTTGAAATATCCTTCCAAATGCTCAATCCCCATACATTTCAAGTTTACGCTCACTGCCACTTTTTATATTTTATATTTCTTTATTTACAAATAGGAATTTGTACAGAGCACAATATTAACTGTGTGTACTTGATAATAATTGTGTGCGAGCTAATAAAAGAAGTCCACATTATAGAATTATTTATAAGTATCGTCAAATAAACGAGTGTTTATTTAAACCATAGCGATCTCGTAGATCATGTCCCTACAATATTCTCGAATTAAGCGGATCGTCCACTCGACCGGCGATTAGACTCGCTGAAGTCTCGGTGTCGACGATGAAATAAAGGAAGGGGTGCAAAGCTGTAAAGGGTTCAGGTCCGGCTCTCTCGAACAGACCATTGCCTAAAAAAGAAATTTATAATTATATTGCGAACTTTTGCAGAGAATTATTTTAATTAGATAAATATTTAAAATGTTCATAACATTTAATAATATTTTTATATTATTTTTATATAATATTAAAAAATATATTTAATTTTTTTTTAAATAATTTCGTATTTTACATATTATAACAGATAAAATAAAAAATTACGCGCTTTCCAGAGCGACATTAGTATTTGACGAAAAAAATTTGCAACAAAAGTATTTACAGATTAAATCTATGTGAATTATAGAGCTTAAAAATCTTCAAAGTTTTTGATAGCTTAGCTGCCCACAATACATAGCTAATAGTTTATGCTATTCTAGTGCATTGCAGAGGAATTAGGAAGACGTTTAAATTATGATGGAAAAATACAAGAGATATTGATAGTTAATGTGTGCGAGCTTGCAAGAGATCAAGGCTACATATTTTGTATACATTGAAAAAAAAATTATACATGTGTTATACAATTTGTTTATAAATGCAAAGTTTTTTTAAAGTAATTGCAGAGCCGCTATAGGATTTTAGATTTAAAGCAATAAAATATACAACGATATTACCTGTTTTAAAATTAAAAAAAATTCTTGATAACAATTCCCGTTTGAGGAATTGGCGTTTTAATTTAAACAGTATTTTATTTTCTTGTCTCTCAAAGCGGCAAGCAGATGTAATGCATCACAGGTCAATCTTCAGATTTCTAGATGTTCGGTTCATTGACTTCTAATGCGCGCGTCCTTCCTTTCACTGAGTTGACAAAACTTCTTACTCTCGTATTTTTACGACGGTTAGTTTTTACACGAAAGAAAAGAACGTAATATCATAAACGGAGAAATATTTAATGCAGTGAAAAGGATATTTTAATTTTTTTAATCACCACTAGCTCGATAAAAGTTTTTATTTGACTGTTATTTTAACGTTATATGTCAAGTAAAGAATCCCGTTATACTACTTTGAAACATAGTTAAATGATATTTTACAGAAAATTGTAAATAATAATTTAAAAATAAAAATCTTTTGTTTTCTAAATATTCCATTATTATAATTTGTATTTATTATAAAAAATGACACATACGCGACAAAAATAGTCGAAAGAATGATTTCATAGAAACGTTGCAACGCCACAGCGATTCAGGAATCCTCAGTGAATGTAAAAAGTGATGGCGCAAGGTCTTTTTATTGACTTCCTTTACGGACTCGAGCAGGATATCAGCAATTAAATTCAGTGAACTGAACAACAATACTGAGAATATTTCCAACAGTAATCGATAGTTTTGCTTGAAGCTTCGTCTATAGTGGCGTGAAAATAGATATTGCCTAGCTATTCGTCCTCGAAACTCTCGCAGTTCTCGCAGATTCGATCTATTTGCATTTCACGATTGCGTCATAATTTTTCGAGATTAAATCTTGCAAATTACGCGAAATTGATAAAAATAAGTTGCATTTTTATAGAAGCATTTAGCTGAATTGTCTGTTAAATTAACCGTAAATAACTTGCAATTTAATGCATCATGAGGAGATAATGACTAATACTCGGCATAATTATCGTGAAGATGTAATTAGCAGCTAGACATTCGTCTTCGATAGTTTCTCAATCTTAAACGAGGATCAAAAAAACGTTGCCGCGTGTAATTCTGCAAATGTATGATAACTTTGACAGGGTGTTTCGAAGCGCGGAAGCGGCCGTCATCGTTAATGACAGTCGGCGTTAAGTAATGAAGATTCAGCGGAACGTGAGAAAGAGCAGCGACGGAGCAGAGAGGCGGAAGCGAAAAAGGGAGAGAAAAGAAAGTGAAGAAACGACGGACAATGAGTGGCGGCAGTAGTAACGGCCGGCCGTCGTGCGGACGCGTGTTCACGGCGCGTAGAGGGGCGCATTGTCGCCGCCGTCGTTTACAAATTATGTGCGCAAATTATGTGCTTCTGGAGGGCACTCGTTCGCGCGCGCGCGCGAAACTTTGTAATTTCACTCGTTAATACCGGATATTGCGTCAACGTAATTATTTCTTCGAACATTATCTCCGACGCCCGGCGCGCGGCGGCCTGAGAGTCGTGGCGTCGCTCTATTCCGCCGTCCCGTCTTGCCGTTTGTTTCCCTCTTCCACGACAAATTGAATCACCTGCGTACGCCATTCAACGCCGGTCAACATCCGGCGGTTGGCCGACCGCACTCGAGACGTATATGAACCGCTCGCTAATTTCGGATGCTACTCAAGGTGATTCAATTTAAACGTACCGTGATTACTCCGTATCAAGTTCTTAAACAGTAATATAATCGCGTGAAGCGACGTCAGGAACGACGAGCAGAACGTGATGAAGTAATGAATAATAATAATATAGCAAGTAACGTGTAAAATATATAATGTACATATGATAATGTCAAATATATGAAGAGTCGATTAAACTAAACTCGGTACAGTTGATCGATGAACGGATACTCGGGTACTTGGCTCTCGCACTGACAGCGCTATATTATTATACTTACAGGCACAGGCGGAAGCAATTTACAAGCGGCAAGAGAAAAAAAAGAGGAAAGTAAAATATATATTTAAGAAATAATAAAGGAATACCGCGAATGCTAATGATTATACCACGCAGCGCGCGAAATTATATAAATTGGATTCTTAAATTCAGGACGTCCGCATTAAGGCGCGAGGGATGGCAATTACACATGCGTGGAAAACGGTTACCGTTACGGGGTAATTGAAAGGAGAGTGCGATAGTGCATGAAAAGCGTAAAGAGAGTAAAAAGGACCTGGCGGTAGATATCGATAATAGTCCCTCCGAGGTGAAACGACATTAGACGACTCACGAGAATGGGTCCGGTCGGGCTTCATATAATTCCTTATATTGACCCCTATACTCTGCTGCACGTCCCTGGCGTACACGCCGAGATCGGACGTCATGGGCGATAAATCGGCCACTCGCGGCTCGAACACATCCAGAATTCCCAGCTGCGAAAGGAAAACAGGCGAAGGAAGGAAGATCACTTAATGAGATTATGCAAACCGCGACGCAAATATCGACGCAAATATACACGAGTCATGCACGCATACGTGTCGATAATAATCTTGATTTCTCGATCTCCTTCCTCAATCGCAATCCTTCTGTGCTCACGAAACGTTAAAAATGTGTCTTTTCTTAACGATTTCAGGATTGTTATACGATGATTAAGGAAATAATTTGAAAATAAATGAGCGGACGACGTAAGATGTAATTTACAACTCTGCTCAATTGATGTTCAACAAGTGTTGTAGGTCTCATTATGTCGTATGAATTGTTATCAATGAATCCTTGAGGTAGAAGTTCTTTGAATGAGAAAACTGTAGAAACTATATAGAAAACTATATGCGACACCTTCACGCGCGGTTGGCTGTAGATCCGGAATATACTTTTCTACTCGCTGCCCACATTTAGCATTGGTAGGACATTAACGTTAAAGAGGACGACATATTATCCACTTACCCTTTGTAAAAATGGCGTCAGCGTGACGAAACCACGCAGCATGAACGAAGGTATAGTGGCCCTGACCCAAGTAGGCTGTAAGCACTTCCTCAACAATCTCAATGGCTTTCCGCTGAGATCCCTCGCCAGACGATGCGTGTCCGTTTTATCCGTGGGCATGAAAAGTATAATGTTGTATCGAGGATCCTTGAATGTTAAGAAAATAACAGGGATTCTTTGTATTGTTCAATCGTACTTGAGGCTACTTTAAAAGTAGTTATGTCTAATTTCTAAATTTCGTCAACTGCACATTGACCAAGGTTATTTATTAAAATAAATCCTTTCTTTGCCAGTATATAAAATTTTAATTTAGGAAAAAGATAATAAAGATTAGATTGAGCTTATTTAACGTAAATTGTAGACTAAGATTGCGCAACTTTCGTTTTTAAAAATCAGAAATGTTTCAAAAATTTAAAGAATAATAAATCAAGCATAAATTAATTCTATCAAGTTTTGAAAAAGATGGATTATAGATACTGAATTTTCACGTAGACTCACGTCTAAAGGAAACTCGAGCGCGACAGCCTGCAACGATGGAAAGTACGCGAAGGGCAATACGGCGATGTATCTCGAGGCCGAAACTGAGGAAAGATCGCAACCGTTCACCAAAAACGACATCTCCGCCGATGAATCTCCGATGGAGGACTCACCCGGGTTTGCTATGTTATGTGATTTCCAAATTTCTAAATTTTGCATCCAGATACCTTCATCTGTAAAATATGTAGAAAATCGAATCCCATCAGTCAGTTAGTTTTCTATACGAAGAAAAAATGTTTTCTTATTAATCTCATATAAATATGCAATGTAATTTCATATATCTTGTCGCTGGGAAAAAATTATATATAAGTATACAAATAATGACTGCATAATTTACATATAAGTAATTGCTATAATAATTTACTATTGAAATTTTCCTACAGAATAAATTAAGAAAATTGAATCTGTCTGTGCATGTCGGAGTTCTCGATTCATAGTACGAGTGACATATATTCGAAGAAAATATTCATTAGCTAAACGTACCTGGGTAGCTAGAGAAGTATCCACGCGGGCTTCTCGCCTTGCGTTTGCGAAGATTCGACGATCCGTCCGTTGACTCATCTTTAACGGTATTGCTGTTAATTATATCCATCAAGTCCTTCTTCTTTCGAGCCATCGAAATCATATTTTCGTCCACGAGAGACGCGATCGTCTGGTTAGCCGTGGAATTCATCGTAGAATTCGTGACCGTGGCGTTCATTCCAGCAGGATTGCCCGACGTCACGTTCGTTGCTGGGACAGGCGGTACCCCGGTCGTCGCAGAATTGACCGCGACAGCGCCGTCAGTATTGGTCATCGTCATCGTGGGGAGGTCATTCGCAGCGGTCATTCCTGGAGTATTCTCGGCCGGAGCGTCTGCCGACGACCCGACGGTACTCGATTGCGAAATAACGCCGTTCACCGTCATCGTTTCGGTAACGGGACTCGGGATGGTCACGTTCGCGCTATTCGAGATCGCTGGTACCACAGTAGTTAACGAATTCATGGTAACGGTACCGAAGGTCGCGTTGGGAATAGTCGTGTTAGCGGGCGTCATGCGGACGACGAGCGTGCTCGCAGCCGCCAACGAGTCGGTACTCGCGTCCGCGACGATCGCGGCCGCCATCGGCGCGTCCGAACTCGACATATTCATCGTCGTCGTTGCAGGTATCTCGGTACTCATCGATACCGTCACGCCAGCGTCGGTCGCGGCTGCCGTTGCCATATCCGCGCCCGTCGACGCTTGAACGCCGTCATTAGGAACGTTGGCGCTCATTCCGGTGGCACCGCCGGCGGCGACTGTCGAGGAAGTTTGCGGACCCTGATCGCCCGCGACCACAGTTGTAGTTGGAATCGTTTGACTGTCCGTGTTTATCATCGGCGTAATTGTCGTATTCGGCGAACCCGCGACAGTTTCCGCGCCGGCGGACGGAGTTGGAGTCGGCTGAACACTTTCGCCGGATGTAGTAGTCGTCGTTAAGGAATTTGCCGATTGCGTCGTCGACGACGTGTTTTGGACAACTGTGCCGGCGGTGGTGACCGGAATCAATGTCGTTGGTACGTCGGTCGCACCCGTTGGTGCCGTCGTCGTGACAGTTTGCTGAGTAACGCCCGCTGCGGTCGATGGAACGACTGTTGTTTCCGCGCCAGCCGGAGGAAGCGTCGTGATAGCACCCGTTGATGTTGTCGTCGTCATGTCCGACACATTCCCGGTGTTTACCATCTCAGCCGGGAGCGTGGTCGAGCCAGTCGTGGACGTCGGAAGTTCTTCCATGCTAACGGTAACATTCGCTTCTTGCTCAATACTCGAGAGATCGAAGCCGTAAAACCTCAGAATGTCTTCATACTCAGGACGGAGTCTGGTGTTCTCTCTGCTTAGCGTCAGCCCGCCCAGAAAGCCATCGGCGTTAAGGTAGCTCTTGAAATCAATACATGAAACATTGATGCAATTCAGTGTGTGTAATTGATTACTTATAACACTCTGATCTTTATAACAATTACCAATTTTCGAAAATAAATACATTCAATAATAAAAAATTGGCAAAAGTACGCCAAATCATGTGATTAAAGTAAAAATTAGAGTAATTAGATTTGTACGAAATGTGATAGTTAAAAAAAATGTCTAAAAGACATCTTTCGGGTGTCACCAAAATATTCACAATGCGCGGGATCTTACTCGCAATCGTCGGTGAATATCCCTGAAACCGATCCTGGTAACATCCCGGTTGGCTGGTAGGCCTAAGGCCTGGGCGATCTGTTGACTTCCTCTACCCGCGGATCCTTCGTAGAGCGCCGCCAGCACAAAGGCGACCCCCGTGGGCGAGAACGCGACGTTTCCGCGCGTCGAGTATTGCTGAAGGATCCTCACTCCGAGCTCGTTGACGACGTCGGTGATCACGTCGACCGGACGCTGCGTATCCGCGCGATACCACGGGGGATCGTACCTATAAGCGAACGCGGACGATACTGCTGCAACAAAGAATAGTATCAGTGCATGGGAAAATTTTAAAATTCATTGCGTAATTCGACACGTTACGTATGTACGTATCATCTGTCTCTCTAGATTGAAGTCTTCCCACGAATAACGCTGTCAGTTTTTTCACGAACTGCAATCATTATATCTTAACATGATATTCTTCTAGAAATCTACATGCAAGACAAACAACTTCATCTTTACTGCTTCTGTATAATTCACACCAAAATAAAACAAAATCTTTTTATTTATCTATATTAATTTATTGCTTCACTGTCGTTACGCGGAGAGGCTTCAATTTTCAAGTTCGTCCGAAGACGATCGACGGAAATAATCCTCTAATCTAAATCGCAGAGTAAAATCGAAACGGTCTTACGTACGCTGCAATATTACAATCAGGTGCAATGGCTTTCCCATCGTTTCCGGACCGCTTGCTTCCTTTACGATGCTCCGATCGTTACGTTCGAGCCGAAGACGGAGACGTCCGCGAGACGCGATCCAGCCGGTTCTAGTCTTAACTCTTAGGATTAGCCTTAGTCGTCCGCGCTCTACGTCGGGACTGGCTCGCGTCGGAAACGCGCGGATCAGATACGCTAGGCTAGCTGCCTAGCTCGCCGGGGCCCGTGGCTCGATTAAGACCCGTCTCAAGGGGCCCGTCCGAGGCGCGCGAGGCCCGCTCGAGGCCCGCTCTTGAGGGGGCCCGTTCGAAGACCGCCGATTACTACCGCGACTTCTTAAGTGGCTAAGGTCGTAATCCCCGTTAAATTGCGCACATAGCTTCCCTCCTCAGCCGTCAATTTCTTGCCCTACCTTCTCTTCTCGTCTCTATTCTTTTAGACGCTTCTATCTTCCAGCGTTTCGACAGGAAGGGGAGATCTCAAGTATGTCGCTGCATCGCCGCGTTCATCTCTCCTTACGTTTATGATCTTGAGTATCATTGCGGAACGCTGAAATATGTGCGTGTGTATGTGTGTGCGTGTGTGTGTGTGTGTGCTCTATTCTCTATTCACAATCCAGTGACAAAGTTATTACGATATTCCACGTTAAAGTATACCAATGAATAACCGGCCGAAGGATGTTTTATTACGTAACTAAATGTCCTCAGGATATCATTTGGTCACATTATTACAAGCATCGTTGATTAAAATCAAGGAAAAACGTGTTCATTACCTGCGGTAAATTTATAGCTTTACTTAATTAACAAAAAATCCAATTATAATCAAAGACGGGTATATCACGCTCTCTCGTGTGTGGCAAGACAGTTTTTTTCTTTTCTTTTTTTAATACTTCACGTGCCACTCGCTGGTGCACCGACCCCGTTAATCGGGACACGTTAATCGAGCGACCCGAAAATTCCTCTCTCCTTCGGCAGCGATCGCACGTCTATCCGGTCGGCCACAAATCTTCGAAAATATGCGGATATTATCGCGCGCGTGATAACGGTAGTGGCGATCGGTGGCGGCGACGGCGGCGGCGGCAGCGGGCGGCCGCACAGAGGTGAAGGCGAGGCGAGGATCTGCTTTCGACTGATCCAAGTGGGAGTGGATCTTCACGAATGAGGCATTACGTAATATCGCGGTGACTTTTACCGCGCGCCGCGAACGGCTGCTGCTGAATGCGCAATCCAGAATCCAGGATCTGACGCGCGGACCAACAATGGGACGCTCGCGCCTCGCGCCCGCCGCGCCGCGCGGATCATTATCCTGCGCGCACGCCAAGCGCGATACCTTCGCGTGCGTTCCTTCTTCTCGTCCTGTTCCATCGCGTCTCGGTTTCGCGAGCGAAACCGATTATTACCGGTACCGAACGGGGCGGTCGATTGGCGCGGGGTCGCGTACGTATATCCTCCTCTATCCCTGCCCACGATATTCATCGTTTCGTTCACCGAACGTTTTTGAACACGCACGTCGGATCGGAACAATCCCAAAGTGATAAGCTTTGACGATGATTGATGTGCGATTTGCTCAAGTCAGCTTCAAACTGTCCGAGCGATAAAAGATGAACCCATCAATTTGGACGTAACCGTACAACAAGGAACCATATCTGCCGTTTTTTTTTTTTTAATTTGTTATTGTTTGTACCGCAGAAGGTGTTCGAGGTAATCATTTACATGTGAAATTGGAGCCAACGCTTGTCGGACAGTTATAAATAATTACTTTCAATATAATGAAAAAAATAGTCTTACTTGTAATATATTTCTAAAAAAAATACTATAATAAAAAGATTCATTTTTTCAACTAGTTCTCTCCACTACATAATTACGTCTAAACGATCGAATCTGTTTCAAGGATAAAAACTAGTATAATTTTACTAAGCGTAAAAACGTAAACTTTACATTGATTTACAGGCAGTTTTCTAAAATTTGTTTTAACTATAAAAAGACGTATAGACTACTATAAAGGAATCTATGAAAAACAGCTATGTCGCCTAAGTATATAACTTACATTCAAGCAGTCGTTACATGTAGCTCGAGGAATCGCTGTGCTCATACGAGAATGGTCCCTGTAATTAACATTAGGTACAAGCAACGATAAAATCTAATTACGTATGCAGATGTTTTAGCCGACGGTGAAGCTATTTCGCGGAAAATATAGAAGCATTTAATCTATCATCTGTCCACCGCTGTGTTTCAAGAGAGATTCAAGAGACAAAAGGCTGAATCAACTTGCGCCGCCTCGACACTTGGCGTTTGTGCCAGCAAAACTCGGTGCACAAAAGAAATATCGATCCGGTCACGCCTGAAAGGAGCGCAATAAGGAGTTTTATACCTCCCACGAGGTGTTATTACATCTCCCCGAACGGCGAGAGGTACACTGCAAATCCAAGTGTGTAAATCTAAATTTTTACACATTTTATCTGTGTTTTACACAATTAAATGCATATTTTTTACACGTTTACATATATCATTGTAAAAATATGCATTTAACTGTGTAAAACACAGATAAAATGTGTAAAAGTATAACATAAATATATAATATAAAAATATAAGTGTATAAATGCGTAAAAAGTGACTACAGATTTACACACTTGAATTTGGAGTGTACCGCGCGCAAAAAGCAAAAACGCATTACCCATAAAAAGCACGAAAAATATGCCTTGCATATCCGCGACGTTTACTTTGCGCTCCTCTACGCCCTGACTGACCAGGCTTTCCGAGCATTTGTCTTTCATCGGTATTTGCTCCGTTATCCACTTGTTCATTAATCCGGACTCGTGCATGCGGTGTAACCTGAATGACGAAAGCTTATTCAGTTGATAATTGGCTCTGACAAAATAGCAGATTAGCAGATACAAGTGGGAATTATCACGGAATTACGATCACAAAATTGACGATATCGAAGATGAAACTTTACGATGAAGCTCAACAGAGTTATAAAATTGTTTGTACCGCTGAAAGTGTTCGAGACGGTAATTCATATAAATTGAAGCCAACGCTTGCCGGACATTTATAAGTGTAAATTAATTTCAATTTAATAACAGAGAGCATAGTCTGATTTGTAATTCACGTGCAATTTACATATCATTAAGAAAAGAAATTGAATTTTTAAAAAATTTAAAATGTCATAAATCAACAGTGACCACTTTGACCATCGTAGGTAGATTTTGCTTACTCAGCGTTGATGATTTTTATATAAGGACTATCTTTTCCAATAATCATCGCTATAGGCTCGTCCATAAATTCATCAGTGCTCAAAGAAAAGGCGCATCCCTCGGTTAATAACAGGTCGCTTCTCATCGAGAATCTGCACGGGCAATGCATCATTATCGTCATTCCTATCGGACGGACTAATTCATTCTATACGTTCGGTTATGCAGGATGAAATATTAAAAAGACTGTATCTCCATTTATCACGAAATTCTTCAAGAAAATAATTATAGCGTTCAATAAGCAAACGATACGTATAGGAGAACATTTACTTTATTATTTATTTTACGTAACTTTTTCTCCAGAATTTTTTGTAAATTTATAAACGGCGGAGAGGTTTATAAAAATGTCCTTATTCTATACACGTGTATTATGAAATTACCTCAACGTGCTTCTCCAGTCGATCAACACGTGCTTGCCCGCCTTCACCCGCTCAATGACATCCACTGCTTGCGTCGCATTATGAATCTGGGCACGTTCCAGAAGAATATGATACTTTTCTTCTTCGGCGTTCTTTAGATACTCCTCTAAATAGCTGCCATTAGGAAAGCCCCAGGTTAAATGCCTCTTATGAGCAATAAGATCATCCACGGTCAAGATGGCAGTGTCCATATTCGGGAATGTCAGGAATGCGACCAAGCTTCCGGAATAGGTCGCTACCACGACCATCACGACCAACCACCAGACAGCGACCAGCAGGCGAGCACTATCGGAATGGGGTAAGTACATTCCCCCTAAAATCATTCGTACGCACCCTTGTATTTCTCTAGAAAGGGAAATGCGACTCTTTTTGTGTAAAAGAAAATGAGCGTAAGACGAAACAATTTTTCTTCGACAAAAATATCAAGAAAAAACTGATAATTTGAAAGAGTAATAATTCATATAATTATGAAGAAATATAACAATAAAATTGTGACGGATACATAAAAATATAATAGTAAAATTGCGACTGATATTTATAAAAAATGTGTTGGTAAATCTGCACACATTTTAATAAAACGCGAAATAAAAGTACCGCTTCCAGAAATAAACGGATGATTTTACCTTGCTGAAGAAGGGCCCCGTAGACGTACCATATGCATTGCCAGGAGGAGTTGAGCCCCGCGGACACCCTCATGCTGCTCGGACTGTACTTGTGAATCAGGTACAAGATCGGGCCCATTATAATAATGGATGCTGCCAGGCAGGCCCACGTCTGCAAGCAAATCTAGCCCGCTTGAAGACATACGTGTATTATACATACACGCACGTGAAAATAGATTCGAGGTAACCGAGCTATATAAACTGAGAGAGCTGTCAATCCGCCGTTTAACAAACTCAATACTAAAGTTACTTCCATCCGGATCTCATCTCGCGATCGTTATATTAATAAGTTTCCACCTTTATTTACTTTTTACATTTATGAAAATTAAACATCATAAAAGTTCCACATCTTTATATGATTCTCACTTTGCGAAATAGATCATTAATTTGTCTTCTATAAATAAAATCATGACGTCACATCCGATCCAAAACGCTAAATTGATAATATTTCTAACTTGAGTTCTCAATTCTAACAAGATTCGAAACTTGTTTTATCCATCTTCTTCAGTACACTTTTTTTAACTATATATAACTATTTTTAAAAAATAAATTACAATGCTATTTTAAAGTGATGCTACAGTGCAACAAATACGTATAATGGAGATGCAATATCTTTATACATTCTGGCGCAATGTATGCATTATATTTCAGTCGTCAGAAACATAAGGATGCGCAAGGTTTACCTCTTTGGTGAAGGGCGCGGTAAACAACAACGCTCTAGAAAGTTGGCCCGGTTTTGCAGTAAGAAAGCTGTACGTCTGCATAAAAATCGGCAAGGTAAAATTGATCTGCCCTTTTCCGTGATCGTTCACGCTGTACGCGCAGGCTGCAAGTAGGACCTTCTTCTCCACGATCATATCTATTATCTGCGGCGGCATTTCTCTCGTTGTCGCCGTTAGCACCTAACATTTGAAAGACTTATCGTAAACTACATACAAAGATTAGATTTCAGCTGTACGTCAATTGAAATCGAATATAAACTACGCAGTTTGGGACTTTATACGGAGATCGTAAAATTAAGTTGTACGTAATTAATATACGGTTTAAGCACTTTAGATTTTTTTATTATTTGTGTGATGAGGAAAGAAATGTTTTGTTTGCGTTACGGTAGATTCGGTGAAACCTAAACTTTAGCTTTACCACATCGGCTGCAGTCTCGTTACGAGTGAACTTGACGGTTCGATTGTTCGCCGGGCTGAGCACGGTATACGTGAAATTTAATTTCTTTCCCAGATATTTTATAACGTCGAATATCAGCCCGCCGTATTCCTTCTCGCCGGAGTTGGTCAACGAGATGGTCTGCCACGGCGGATTCTGGAAGGACGGAATTGTCGGAATTGATGTTCCAATCGCGCGCCGCAGTTACACGGGGAACGGGAGCTTTACATACGTGATACGTGGCGACCGGTATGCTGATCCCGCGGAAACCGTGCGCGACATGCGGAAAAAGGGCGTCCGTCAAGTTCGCACCTAGAACAGGAATCCACGTGCCCGTATCGATCAAATGCGCGACGTTCTTGCCGTGAACGAAAAAGTTTCCCCACGTTATGGCCGAGGCGAACCGCCAAAACAGACATTTACCGCAGACGCCGCCCGTAGCGAAATTATCCTCGATAAGCTTTATCTGCGGGAAATAGAGCGCGTGTGAAGAGCTTCCATCGAAAGAATCTCGATGGTATAGATACAATTTCTCACTTGCATGGAGAGCTCAGTTTTTCAGGAATAAAAAATTTCTTAAACGTGATATTTATATATGGACACTACAAACGTAATCTTAAAAAAAGAAAATAGAGAAATTTAATTTTTTTAATCTCAGGAATTTAATCAATTTAATTGGTATATGTGTGTGCAAGAAATGTACGTAATGCACAGGTTTTCAGAAAAGCTGCAATCATAAGATATCATTTCTATACCAATCCGAATTCAACATAGTATCAGAAATACGAACTTTGATATTTTTGAGAATTTCTCGACGTCTTTCGAATTTATTCAATCGGACGAGTTCGAACTCCTCGTCGCTCATATGACTGTACAACTCTATTTCAGTCATCAACGATATCTTTAAAGCATTACCCAACGCCGCAACTAACTCCTGGATATGGCATTTTAAACTGACCTAAAAGAATTTCCCTTTTTTCTTCAAAATATAAAGAAAAAGAGAGAGAAAGAGAAAGCGATTATTAAAAAAAAAGAATAATTAACGAATTACATTGCAATATGTTTCGCTGTCGGTCGCATTGTAAATGAAAGCCACGTTACTGCCTTCCGACAATAAATCGATGAAGCTGGTGATGTTCGAAGAGTTTCGTACTACGCTGTCAGTGACAACGTACAACCACTGGCTGTCTGGTAGGGCCATATTTAAAGACTTTGTCTAAATATATCAAATTCAAAATTAAACTCGAGAGAATCAGAATACACGAAATAAGTTGTATCCATAATTTGCAAGGCTCTTTATAATAGCATCTCGCACTTGATATAAAGCACGTGCATGTATTTTTCAAGATTTACATTGCAGAAACAATTCTATAGCCAGTGAACCTAATAAATTATGGGCTATTACTCTATTTTCGCTTTAAATTGATGCTTATGTAAAAACGAAAAAAAAATAGCTTTCTGTTCATCTTACAACTTCCATAACGTCAGCCACTGTGTCTAATGTGACGATTACGAGGAAGCACTTTCCCAATTGATCCACGTGAAAACTCTCAAGCATGTCTTTTATGTAGTACCTTCTGCTACGTTCGGAATCGGCGTGCTTAAAGGCGAATAACGCTCTCGAGAGCAAGCTAAATTTCTTGTTTGGCAACGGGATCGATAGGGCTTTTGTAACTCTGCCGATCGTGTCTCTATCTACAAGTCGTGAATAAAACGTTCCGTTTTTAACAAAGATATTGAGAATAAGTGATATAGAAAAAGTCGAAGAAAACGGCATAAAGAGAAAGACAAACGATTAACGCTTAAATTGTATCACCGAAGGTATCGTCGTGCAGTATGTTGACATTGTTCCAGAGCAAAGCGTCGATCGCTTTTATGTCGAAGAAAATCTGAGATAATTCTTGGCCCGGCGATATTAAGGGAATACTCACACCCTCCGTATCAGGAAGCCGTGGACAGTCCTGGTCTTTAAACAAATAAAATAAAACATGCGATACTTTATGACTCTCGCCAGCTCGTGTATTTCACAAAGTCTCGCGACATAATAAAGCACACGGCATTAAAATCTCTATCAGATGTGTACGCATACCGTATCCGGTTTAAATAAGACGAAACGTATCACGTATGACGTAACGCGATGCATTTTGGCGGATGACACGGTAGATAACAAAATTAAGAAGAGCAAGATAACGCTGATTGCAAATACCTAGCGTATTAGTCACCAACTACAATTGCGCGATTCAACGCCTAAATTTATATTCGTCTCAACGGGCAAGTATAAAAAAAAGGAATTTTCACTGAAAGTCTCTTTACACGTACCTGTTATCGCTAAATGTATGAGCTCCTCTTTACGCGCCGCTTCGTGAAGGCTCCACATTTGATGACACGTTGCCACGGATAAAAGCACAGTGTAATCTTCACGTGTATTCAATGTAAAAGTCAATTTTTAACTTAATTTCTTTAGCTTCATTAAGCTACGTTTAATCGCTGAACACATTTTCGTGTGATAATCCTATATGTCTACTGTCTATACTGTACTCTTATTAAATATTTGCACGCAATCACTCTTGTTATATTCCGGATAAAATAATCCAAAATATATTGAACATATAACGCACAGTATAAATAAAGATGAAGCAGTCAACGTCACATAAAAAAAAATAATTGCAAGAATATTTAAATATTTGTTCAATATGTTCGCTCTTACCTCGGAGATTCTGCACTTTCGTTCCGCGAAAAACGTGCACGTCAATGTCACCCATATTCATCTCCTCCTTCGTAACTGCCGCGATGAAGCTGTAAATATTTTTTACCATGTCGCGATACTCGACCTTGTTATCGAAGAAACTCTTGTCGACAACGACCGCTGAAAGAGATTAAAATAGTGTCGACATTAAAGTAGATATACAAAAAAATATATGCGAAGGAAGAAGAGTCATCGGTACCCATCGAGGCGTTGGAGGACATCAGCGATGGAAAATCATTGAATGCGTCACCCGAATTCAGAATCCACGCGAGGAAGAGGACGGAAATCATGTCCATCGACAGATCGTATTGGTGCCCGTCGCGGCAACCGGTCGATATATAAGCGAGGACATTGCTCAATGATATATGAGTTCATTACTTTCGCCGATTCATTATTATTGCATTAACCGAAACTTTGTCAAGCCCGGGTTCGGTCGAAACGCAATCGTAGACTGGGAGCGCGCGTTCCAGCTCCGTATAGTTTCTATCGCGAATCAAGGAAAAGATCGATTTCTTTAATAACTTATCGAGGAACGATCGAATCTCATCACAGCTTGGAACGGAAAAGGAAAGGGGGGGGGAGGAGAGGGTGCATCATTGGCCTACATGTGGGCGAAACTAGACTCAATTGGAAAATCATCACGGGAAAGTCAAATGCGTCAAATATTCGAGCGATTCCCTTGACCCGGATACTAGCCACCTATAGGATACAAACCGCAAAAAGTACGTCTTCTCTCTGTAATTATTTCAGATCGGAGATAGAAAAGTGAGATATAAAAGTTTCGCGACCACTGGGACGTTATTTAATTTAACAATATATCGCAATTTAGTGATAATTGTATATAGATTTCAGATGCTATTGCGTTGTGTTGCTATCTGCGAAGAATAATTGCCTCGATAGAAATAACTACTTGTGATAGAAATAACAACGTTCCGCCAGTGATTCCAACTAATATTTTTCTTATAATAATAGTCAACGCTCTTATTTAGGTATTATTAATTTATAATCCGATCGAAAGAAATTTTATTTACTGCGTACATCGGCAATCTCACGACTTTAAGTGATTAAAAATTCACTTTAAAATGTCCTCATTAAAATTTGCAGCTACATATTTTTCTCATCGCTAAACATTATCGATAATATTGATCTGCTTCTCGTTGATTGATATTATTTTCTCCTAGGAATAGTAGAATTTCTTTATATGTATATAATATATATACAAAGTGTTCACTAAAATTTGCATTACATTTAAGAACAGACGGAGAGAATTTTTTTTTAATTTACCCTGCAAATCATGTTAATTATGGGACAATATAGTATTTAGACAAATTTTACTGTGCACTACAATAAGATTTTACAGTAAAATTTATTGTAGTGCACAGTAAAATTTGCCTAAATACTATATTGTCCCATAATTAACATGATTTGCAGGGTAAATTTAAAAAAAATTCTCTCCGTGTATAATATTTACATAATAAAAATGGATTTAGTAAAAGGAAAACATCTATGCAAAAATTATTACGTATAAAATACTCATGAAGTAGTCATAAAATTTTAAAGAACTTGAAGATTGCATCACCCACTCTTGCAGAACTAATGTTAAATACAGCAAGCAGTACGTGAAAAATAGAATATTGTGAAGAAAACAAATCAGACGAGATGAAATGAGTTTTTTTTTTACTCAGTTTTATTATATACTATCTGTAATTACTTGATATCTCTTGGCGGAAGGCAAAAGCAGGCGAGACGGAAAAGTTATAAATGCGTTGCGGTCTACCACTTCTCTCCGTCCGATGTTAGCACGTGATAAGAACGCTATCCATTGTCTGCGTTCTATTGCTTGCGCATCAGAAATAAGAAACCAAAGTCGGAAACTTCATTACGGATACTTAAAAAAAAATTGACTATCTATTTTCTACTTAAATTCATTTTACATTTATTCGGTAGAGAAAAAAAGTTCGTCTTTGTATTTTAATTCAGAAGTGGTCTATTAAATATAGTCTACTAAATATAATTGATAGTAATTAATTTTTTTCTCTGTCTTCTTTGTTTTAAATTTTTGATCGTCAAGATCGCAATACTTTAGTTTAAAAACTTTAGATCGACTGCTCGTTAAGCGCTGTAAGTAAAGCCTAAGTGGCGTTTAAGAGACTTGCATGCAACATCAAAATCTTGACAATCTTGGCACGAAAAAATATATGACTGAAAAAAAGAATACTATTTTTAGATTAATTAATATATGTAAAAAAAATTAAAAAAAAATTATTAATTATCTAAAACTCAAATGCGATTAAAATTTCTGTATAAATTAAATTTCTTTATAAAACTGACACGTTTGTTTATGAGACACTAAAAATTCGACAGCGAGGAATTAAATTAATGTAAAGTTATAGTAACCTAAAACACGGTGCGTATTTCCATAATCAAAATTTATAATTCCAAGTCGCAGTAATCTCTTCTCGAAATGCGGATTCAGCTCTAGCGAACTCGTCAGAAAAGGAAACGAGAGACGAGATTGAATTTCCGTAGAGTGAACAGAAATTCGTCGAGAGAAGAAAGAGGAGGCTGGTCCAGCGTGAACCTGCCTAATGTGAACACAGCGTTCTTCGGAGTAATCGGAGTAGTCCGGAGACTCCGGAGCACGCCGCCGCGCCGCGCGCGCGCTCCGCGCTGCGCGCCAGTACGGGGCCGTGGTTGTGCGGCGCGATTCGAACGACATCGTGCGTGCGCGCGTGCAGGCCGGTGTGGTGGCTATCTGCGCGTTCGCGCACGCAGAGTGCGGGACGGTGCGGGAGTTCGGGACACGGTCGATCGCGCGGACGTGTCGGTGTCGTCGGTGTCCGTCTCGGGTGCTCGGGTGTCGGGTGTTCGGGGAGTACGCTACGCGTACGGCACGGTGCGTAGCGCGTGTGTCGCATTATGCGTTACGCGGAACGTCAATAACGTCATATACGTATACAGCGCGGCGGGTATCGGCATACGGCGTTACTGGTCCCCTGTACCAGCTCGGGGCTCTGGGATTCTCCCATTCGCGGTAGTCACACACGCGCTGGCAGAGTGTTATATCTCGTATATACATATACATATCTCTCTCTCTCTCTCTCTCCTCCGGCCTGGCATGAAATGTCAAGCGTCCTGCGTTACCATGGGCTGAATCTCGCCGTGCCGTAGCTGTCAGATCGCGCGCGCGACACGAAGAGACGAGAGGACACACACCGCGGTCATCACCGCGTGCCCGGGGCAGGTGATCCGGGTGCCAGCGACAAGAGACGGTCAGGCCGGGAGTGAAAGTGGAAGTGTAGAGTCTAGCTCTCGTTCGGCTCGCTTTTTTTCCCCCCCTCGCTGTACAGCGTGGTATTTTCCCGAGCGACGCGGGGACAAAGGGTTCTCGCCCGCGACCACGAGGAGGCCCCGACGAGGACCCACCGTCGCGCGACGTTCCCGTGCCGATGTTCGATCGCCAGCGATGGAGCTCATGGAGCCCGAGAAGCCTGTCATGCAGGGGATACTGCTGCTGCCGCCGCAGGGAATGCTAGGCCAGCTCAAGGTTGGTTCGCGGCGAGAGATAATTCCGTGGGATGCAGTACCGCGCGCACGTTGGCGCGATACGCGATATCGCGCGCGCGGCGACGCATCATCGGCACGAACGGCTGTTCCTACTTCCTCTTCCCCCTCCCTCTTTCTCCCCGTTTCGCGCTCTTCCCTTTTTTTTTCGTGCTCTCTTCCGCTCGAGACAGCCGCAACAGGTACACACGCGCACATGCCACGCGTGCCACAGCACGCCCTTCAAAGGGCTGTGCTCGTAAACGCGTAGAAAAGGATCAATTACACTTTGACATTCCGACACGCTCTTGCATTATCTGTATGACTGTATATTTATATATAACACAGGAGGATTTCAAGCGAATGTACACACACGCCCGTTTTGTTTCTAGAAATCCTGGCACAAGAGATTCTGCCAGCTATTCCGAACGAGCAACTACGGGATCAAACGCGTCGAGATCTACGACAGTCAGGAGGAGGCGATAATGCAGTCCCACTCTCCACGCATCGTCACGCTGGACGCCTGCATAAAAATTGCGCCCAGCAATCAGTCGCATGTCTTCACCGTACGTAATGTTTATTCCATCCTTGGATTCGCTTCTGCGTGTCTTTCCTTTTCATCTGAACCCAATTCTTCACTGTTGACCGTCTCGAGAACGACGGCGTTACTTACCTCACGTGTGTCCGTATGTTGTGCACAGGTGGTGACTAAATCGGGAATACACTACTTCGGCTGTTACTCGGAGATCGAGATGACTCACTGGATCACGGCGTTCCAATTGGTCGCGTTCAAGGACAGTGTATCGAATCAGATAGAGGAGAACAACGATCTGTATTGCACCAGCGGGGAGGGTGTATTCTCCGTGAAGGTCGTAGAAACGGACGCGTCCAAGCGGTGCGGGCTGGAAGCGAGGAACTACACTTTGGTGGTCGCCAAGGTGGACATGAAGCTGATGGACGGTGACATTGTTCTATTCACATGGCCGTACAGGTATATCAGGCGGTACGGATACCGGGACGGGAAGTTCATCTTCGAGGCGGGAAGAAAGTGCGAGTCCGGCGAGGGCTCCTTCCGCCTGGAGCACGGCAGCCAGCAGGAGATCTTCAAATGCATGTACGCGAAAATGAGGAGCATGAAGAAGCTGATGGACGAGGAAAACAATCCGAGCGTGGAGTGCAACGACACGCAATTTCAGGCAGCCCTGTCTATGGAGGCTGGCTCCAGGGCGGCCTTACCTCCCTCGTCGAACAATTCTAGCAATTTGATCGACATAGATTTTTCCACCGCGCAGAATTCCCAGAAGCCCCTGACCTCGTCGTCGACGAGTATGGATTCCGCGATCTCGTCGAGCAGGTCGATAGGCAAGTCCAAGCCCGCCAAGCCGCCGCGTAAGTACGTCTTCGCTAATCTGCTGGAGAAGAAGTGTCTCGACTCGGAGTTCCTGGACCTGCCCACGTGCGGGGAGTACCGAGCTATAAGCCAGGGTAATTCGCCGGAATTGTCTCACAAGAGCATCGGCAGTGTTGCGCGCGAGGACGAGGAGAAGCACCCCTACGACTTGGTGGAGATCAGGAATGACGCTTGGAAGACGCACGGCATCGACAGCGTGCATCACACGGAGAGAGTGAACTCGAATCTACCCGGCGAGCGAGACAAGGAGAACGACAATGACGACCTGCAGTACGAGATCATGATGCCGATACGGAATCACGATGCATTCCAGAATTCGTGCAAGAGCAAATGCGGCGTCACCGGCGATAACGCGACAATCGTCGGGCCGTCGGCGACGCAGGCGGTCGCCAAGACCGACGAGTCGGATTACGATAAATTGGAGCACTTCGGATCCGCGACGAAACTTAGTCAGAAGACTACGTATAAGTACACGAATTCCTCGCCAAGCATACATTCCAACGTCTCTCACGGGGAAAGTTCTAATCTCGTTAATCCGACGTGGTCCAATTACGAAATCGTCGAGGACATGTCCGCCATCAGACTGGCCGACGACAGTCATCTCGGTTACGGGATGATCCGGAAGAAGCCGGATCTTTCCGAGACAGCTGCCACCGGTAACATCGCGGGTGGTCCGCAGCATAAGGTTTTCAACAACAGCGAATATGCAATTGTATCAAAACCAAAAAGGGTGTAAGGTATACCGTTCGAGTAAACAATTCGAGATATCCTTTCAAAGTACGACGACCATGCCACAAAAGAAAATTCGACTTTACAAAATTCTTCTCTTTTTGTAATTGTTTGTAAGGATATGAAGAATATGCTAGTCCATACCGCGTGTGGTTATATAGAATAAAAAGTATTTCTCTTGCTTTACAAGATGATTGGCACGTTGCAAAAATAATTTCATCAAGTACTTTCGCATTATCACATTTGTTCAATATTTCTATTCGCTTTTTACATCATTTTTAGAGACTAGTCCTCTTAATCGCTGTTATACGATCTATGTCTAGGAAAAGTGTCTAGTAAACATCTAAAAATTCCATAGACGCATTTGTGCCTTCTTATAAAAGATATTCTAGTGTTGATCTAGGAAAGCTCAAAGTGATTAGTAATTTTATCTAACTGCATTCGACTGATTTATCAGAATACCTGTATAGTGCCTTGTAGAAACAAAAATGTTCTAATTGATGCCAAAATGACTACTAAATCGTTGTGAACGTGCAAGCGCGTTGAAATATCAGTATCTTGATATTTGAATATATAATATTGGTGTACTTAGAAAATTATTATTTACATATATATTACAGTCATAATTTTCTAATACCGCTATTACTTTTACTCTCACAACCACTGTACTACTGTTATCGCGCTCTTACTCTATGACTATTGTTATATAGATAAATCACGTTTATATCTATTATTAGACTTTTAAACGGTGCGAAAAAAAAACACGTTTATTCTATGCGGACATGTTACAAATTTGATACGATTTAAACGTTTTAAAGTGCGAAACTATCGATATAAATATGTACATAATTTGATACAAATGCTCTCGTAAAGAGATAATTGATTGATCATCACAATTGGATAAACTTATAGATATTTTAACATTATATGCTGCCGCAATTTTATATAAATATATATATATATATATGCACAATGAATATTAGTGCTTTCGTCGGCGATCGAATCGATCATTTGCCTTAATATAAATATATAATAATCCTATACAAATATTTGTGCAATGCAGAATATTGAAAGTACAAAAAGAAATTGTTTCATTCGTATAATAGAAAGCACTATTATTCATTATGCTGAAATGAATGACTACAAGTCATGCAATAATTATATAAATAGGAGTAAATAACTATTATCTTTTATACATATTTTTTTTTATTTGCAGTCTTTTTACAAAAAGTTCCGTAACAATTTTAAGAAATTGTTGAGAAGCCATTTGTAATAATACGTCCTTTGTGCCAAACAAATGGTCTACCATTGATTGAAATATCGATTAATATATACATAAATAGACAATAGTTGATAAGAACTGCGCCAATCAATATTCAAATTCTGGAATATATCGAACAGACACGTAAGACGAAAACTACTTTCTAGATCACGTATTGCGTTAGATTGTATTTTTAGCAGATGTATTATTAGTATATTTTAAAAAATTATACACATGCTTAAGGTTGAGTCTTGCATGTGTAATCTACTTATTTGGTTTGCCAAACATCAGTAACAAAATTTATATCTACAGACGAATTTTGTTGTTTTAAAATAACTGTCTCATCCAGCGCGACAATACTTTCATCTAAATGTAAATGATTTTTTTTTTCAGCGCATTCTGTATCTTTTAAAGCGACTTGCGTACATTTTGCGGCTGTACTCGTCGATTCTATGTTATACACAAATTTATGCAATAAATTTGTAACAGAGAACATTTTATACGCTTGTATTTATTATAATTATCATTATACATCTACATTTATTATTGTACTTTTATTTAGGGGATAGACTAGAGACTTAAAGGGGAAATTTCAACTCCCCTTCGATTCCTCAATCATTTTAACTTTATCGGGGCATTCGTTGCCTGACTTCATCTCGCATTCGGCATCCTCATTCAAGACAGCGTCATAATAGCCGTCCCTGTCATTCATTATCTTTCGCACGGTCTCGCCCTTCAGGGCCATGAGCTTCTCGATGTTTATCCGGTTATTTATTTCTGAGAACCATCCCAGATTATCGGCAATAAGGTGATTGTTGTGGCAGCCGTCGCATCTCACTATCACCACCCCCTTGTTGTACGCGAGCTTCGATATCAGCTTGCTGGTCCTCGTATTGCATTTCTTGCACGTGAACATCAGCTTCATCTTCCCTTCCAGCTTGCCCAATTCTGCGCGACCGCCGCCGCCGCCGCCGTCCTCGTGAACGAGTCGCGCGTGACACGGCGGCACCCCGACGAAGCCGCTTGGCTTCCGTAGAACTGGAACGTGACAGCACGCCACGTGCCGCGTGCGCAACGCACGTGCGCCGAGACGAAGCACCTGCCGAACGGGAAGCATCCTCGAGCTCGCTACCGGTTATCCCCGACGACGTCCGCACCGTACGTTCCTCGTCCTCGTGGTTTTCACGACGTTAATTGGCGAAGCTCCGCACGTGTTGCCGCGACGTAAATAAGGTTCCAAGGCACAAGAAATCTGTGGACAGATCCCGCGACAAACGTATTGCATTATACACCCTCCAATCTTTAGAAACTTTAAATCGTTTTCGAAATTTTGCAACAAACAATTCTACCGGTTGAATCAATTATCAATTAACGATATAAATTGAATCAGAGTTCGACCAAAAGCCGCCCGTAAGATTCCTGAATTCGGTGTCTTCGGTCATCGGTGTGATACAGTGAGATATGTAACATACTGGCACGTGAGCCTTGGGGTGGTGGGGATGACCGAACTGTGCGACAGTAGTGCGAGGAGGACAATTGACAGCCATGCAGCTTGGGGACGTCTGCCTCATTTTAATGACGTCATCGAAGTGAGACAGACGTTCCCAGGTTGCATCATGGCTGTCACTCTCGCACAGCGGCTACCCCCACTACGCGTTCTCTTAGGGATGGCTCACTCCAGGAGTCCTATAGATTATCGTCCGCAAAGCCATCTCCTTCCGTCCCGTCGAAAATCGGGCGGGAACTCGGCGAGTCACGGGGTCGCGCTCCAAAACTCGTCCGTTTACCGCGACGCGTGCCAGTAGATGTAAACAAGAATTTGATTTAAAACAGTTGTAACGTAAATAATAGTTGTAACTGTCATTTGGTTCACGCGGTGCGCAGCTGAGCGGACGTAGCTAGCGGACGTAGCGTCGCGGGGAGACACGCGAGATCCCGTCGTCCCCGTCGTGCTGTTGATCCCGACGTGAGCACTCGGGGCTCGAAGTGACGCGCACAACCGCGTCATAACCTGTACACGAGCGTCTCGTTGTCGGACGGACGGACGCTAGGGCGACTAGCCTGAGCGCGTTCAGGCGGGATAGACGCGCGTGTCCCCGGGCGTGTCCGTTGAACGCACGACGACCACCGAGCGCGCGCACGGAACCGCGCTCGGTATGAGAGGCCGCGAGAGGTGCGAGAGAATGTATCGTCGTAGACAGCTACCACTAGTATGGAATACGATTCGGAATCCAGCTGCGAGGGCCGTTGTCTGAGAGACCTGGTGAATCCGGACTCGCCGCCGCCGCCGCCGCCGCCGGCGCGCGAAAGATGCGACCGACGAGACTCGCCGCCGCCGCCGCCGCCGCTGTCGTCGATCGAGCCGTTCAAGTTCAGGTCGAGCCACGGCAAGAAGAGCCTCTCCGCCCAGGTGATGGAGTATTACCGCAAGTATTCCCGCGACCCCAGTCTCGATCAGTATTTCTCGCTGCCTGCGCCGAACGCCCCGCAGGAGGCCATTAAGTATTATTACAGCGTGTACGAGTTGAGCGCCCAGGTGGGTGGCTCGTCCAGCAGGCAGGACTGCGTCGGGGAGGAGTACAATCTCAAGTCCTATGTGCCGAGGGAGAGGCGTAGGTGGGTGAGGCCCCCGTTGATCGGGCAGTCCTCGAACGCCGCGGACGCCACGTCCAGGGCGTACGTTCAACCGTTGACAGACGGCGTTCAGACGCCGTCGCCCGATCTCAAGCACACCACGCCGGAGACGATACACGAGGAGAGCAACGAGAGCCAGGACAAGTTCTCGGAGGCGAACGAGAGAAAGCTGTCCTCCCCGACGTCCAGCGTGGCGTCCCACAAGCCGCTTGAGTGGGACAGCGGCGCGGACGTCGGTTACTTCAATTCGCACGCTCACAATAAGCAAGAGGACAAGAAGCTGAGCACCATAGAACGTATGGCTCTGGCGCGAGGATGCTCCGCCGCCTTACGGTTAGACCCGGAGGGCACCACCGAATCAGGGATGCAGTCCGGGAAGAACGCGGCCGCGCAAGGCGGCTCGAAATCCTCGACGGCCCCGGACGCGAATTCCACGCCGTTGATCGGGAACGTGTCGGGATCGGAGAGCGAGATGGAGATCACGCCTATCGTGAAGAATCACCTGCCGGGCATTATAACGGGAGATGACATCAAGTCGCAGGAGAGATGCGACGCCGCGCAACCGAGAGCCGTGGTGCGGTCCACCAGACTCGAGATACGCGACACCCCCACGTCGTCGTCGTCGTCGTCCGCGTTCAAGGTGCCGTCGTCGGTGAAGTGCTCGACGGTGGAGAGGAGGACCGTGAGCAAACGCAAGGAGGTCGCACGCCCGTCGAGCTCGCCGTTGACGAAGAGCATCTCGATGAACGTGTTGCCCGCGCTGTCGGCGAAATCCTCGTTGAAGAGAAGCCAGAGCGAGGTGAATTTACACGCCAAGGAGAGGAGAACCGTGTTTCCCCTGATCTTCGACTCCACGTCCTCCATCGCTACCGTGGTGAACAGGCCCGCCACGTGCGACAAGGTGATACAAACGAGTCCGGACGTGTGCACGCAGGAGTCCGTCGGCGTGCAGGTTTCGGATCTCGAGGAAAACAAGCCGCCGCCGTCGGCGGCGAAGGACCCCAATTCGCAGACGATACATTCTATTTTGAAGAGGTCCAAGGGCACGTACAAGGTGAAGAATCCAAGGAAGAGCGACGCTCCGCGTACGGCGGTCGACGCCGAGGTCGGCGCGGACGCGAAGGACAGCCAGCGACGTCGAAACAGCTCGGATGTGTCGCAGAACGACGCGTCGACCTCGGCGACGCCGCAGCCCGACGAGACGGAGAACGTGTCCGGGAGGGCCAACAGTTTCGAGTACTTCCCGGGGCACACCTACGCGAACGTGCCGAACGGGAGGGACAGCCACGTCTCGTCGGACACCGGTAGATCGAACTCGACCTTACCGAACAGCAGCTCCAGCGTCAACGACAAGCTCTGGGGCGACTCGGACAGCCTGGTCCGCGATCTCGAGCGAAGCGTCAACATCTTGAAGAGCCTCGTCGACGCCAACAAATGCGACAAGCAGATCAAGAAGCGGCTGATCCAGCACGTGATCAAGCGGCTCGTAACCGCGAAGTACACGGACGACAAGATCGAGCACAACTTGGAGGACAACGTCCCCTGGAATCCGGACGACGCCAGGAACAAGGTGTACCGCGCCGAGCTGCTGCAGGCCCTGGCGAACAAGCACAGCACCACCGAGTCCTCGGACGAGTGGAACCTGCGGAAGAAGGACGCGTCCATGCAGAAGTCGATCGGGACTACCAGCGACGTCATAAAGGAGGTCGCGTTGGAGAGCAGCAACAGCGACAAGTTCGACCGGCATACGGATAGAACGGAAATGGACGGCAGGAAGGCGCGACTGGGACTGAGGACGGACGACTGTCAGCAGACCAGCAACACGCCGACGGATCCCGATAAGAGCGAGAGCTCCGAGTGCTTCGTGCCTCAGCGCAATCACAAGAACGCCAAGGTGAACGACATATTTTGCTTCAAGGAGAACTGCAAACTGCCGCACCGAGAATCGACTACGACGAACAGTATACCACCGGATCACAACAGGATCCTGCTGGACGCCGTCGTGAATAACAGAAGAACCCCGGTCGAGTCGAACAACAACACGGATAACAATACTGACTGGAGGTTACCGACGACGTCGTCCGAGAGGCAGTTCGAATTGAAGAAGTGCAGCATGTCCGAATCCGGCGATTCCAAGCTCGTCAATTACGCCGAGATGGAGAAGAGAAATCAGCTGATTTGGATCACGAACGAGATCAGCCATCTCTGTAACTTGAAGAAGTACGTTTCGCACTGTTTTCTAACTTTTCCATTTTAGCAAACTTCTTTTTTCCTTGAACGCCACTTCAACTCTGGTTTTCAATTCTGGTTTCACATTATTTCACCAGATTGCTCGAACAGCCCAGGCGACTGGAGAGACCGAAATCCTCGCCGAGAAAATCGAAATCGGCGAATCTCAAGTCAAAGCAAGCAGCGATACTTAGGCGGGAGCAACACGCGGACGCCATACACAGGTATAATTTGTATTCGTTTGTAACATATTGTATAACTAACGCAGCGAGATTGTAATTCGCGTAATCTAATCGCCTTTTTAATTTCGTCCCCTCAGGAGCGTGTCCGATTTACAAGAGGATTCCGTGAACGAGCCGTGGTCGTCTCACTGCAACTTGGCGGCGTGCGAGGCTGCCGGCGACGGTATGGTCCAGCGGGTCATGAAACGTAACAGTTGCACGCAAACGGCCACCACGGGCGTGGCCAGTGCTTACTCGAAGACCGGCGGCGAGATCGTGTCAGCCGGCAGAACGACGCGGAGATCCGCGACGAAGCACGTGACCGTCGGTGTGCAGACGCTACCACCATCTCGGGAAGCGTCCTCGACGCCGCTGACGGACGCCGAGTCGGACGCGTACGACGCGAAACACGCGAACCCTCAGAAGTCGTGCGCGAGTTACCAAAACGGCGCCAAATGCAGAGATCAGTCGTGCCAGACGCACGCCGGCCCGGTCGTGCGGCGCACGTGCGCGCGATGTAAACAGAGCCCGTCCGAGACGGCCGCGTTGCTGGTCAGGTCGCGTAAGGGCTACCAGGAAGACGCGCCGCCGGCCGTTTCGCAGCAGACGCAGACGAATTACGCGAGCGACAACAGCGCGACGGAGCCCGCGCACCGTCACGCGTCGCAAAGCGGCAACGTCCAGACGAAACAGAAGGAGGCTAAGAATCAGATCAACGCGTCAAAATCAAAATGTAGCTGCGCACACGGCGCTTGTCCGTCCGTCACCGAGAACAAGGCCGGCTCGAGCGCCGTCAAAGTCAAACGGACTGAGTATTACAAACGACCGTTCACCACGTGTCCGTTGTGCTTTAAACAGAAGCCCGCTGTAGATGTCAACGGTGCCGTCTGCGCCGTATGCCAGAAGAATCCCTCCTGCACGCACGACAAAGTCTCGGGACAGGTCGAACAGAACTGCGGGAACGCGTGCGAGTGTGACAACGTCTCTGCTGACGACGCGGACAGAAGGATCGTCGTTGGTAAATCTCGACAAAGCTACAACGCTGAAAGCCAGGGCCGAATGCGCGCGCTGAACTACAGCGAACAGAGTGACACGGGAAAGATTTGCGATTGCGCGAACGATTTTACCGCGTGCCATAATTCGGGAGCCGCAGAAACTTTGTGCGAATGTTGTAATATCGACAATAACGGCTCGTGCCGCTTCGAGTGTCGCCTGAAGATTGAGGAGCGTCGACCGCAGACGCAGATTTACTCCGACAGTTCGCAGGACAGCGACGTGGCTCGACAACGTAAAGTACAAAGTAGCTTAAAATGCAATTGTGATGAGGCTTGCTCCTGTAGTAATAATCAAGCGAAGGACATTGTCAGAGGGAAGGCGCGCAAGGGTCGCACGTCGAAGCCAAATTACGTAGACGATACCAGTATTAATGACACCGAGAGAAATTACAAACATTGCCGCGCGTGTGGTGCCATGTATCAGAATGTCAGAAAGTGTGGCTGCCGTCAAACGTATCCCAAAGCTGTCGCGTATGAATTATCGTTTACGAAAGCAAACGCCTCGAAGAGTGAAATCTCGGATATTCCGAAAATCCCGAAGCAACCGTCGAACGCAGCAAAATCTGACGGCTGTCCTTGCGACATTATAAAGAGAAATAACTCCAACAAAAATCTTCATCAAACGAATACATTGCAGGTAAAACTTCAATTTAACAAATGGGACATTTGATTTAAATCTGATCGCGTGAAATAATTTTTATTTACAACGGCAACGTTCTCTGAAAAATTGTTTAAAAATGATAGAGAATAATGCGTTACAGTTCTTTTCGGATTAATGACACTTTAATTAAATTTGATTTCAGGATTTTTTATCTCGGAATAATCCTGAATTTGTGGGCAATGCGGAAACACGTAGGCAATATTTGTCGGAGATATGTCAATTGCGAGAATTGAGGAAGGAAAAGCGAATACAATTGTTGGCGATGGCGAGTATGTCCAACGTTATTAAATCCGCACCGATACGAAAGCCAACAGGTGAGATTAATTACTTGTATTATAAATCTGTCAAATTAATATTTTATATTTTGCTATTATTATTATTTGTTGAGGAAAATTTGCGAATTATAGCATTACACCTTCTCGTTACAGTTTACATGCAGCGAAAAATTACCGACGAGGAGATGAAGGAGAGATCGCGTAAACGATATCTCCGGCTGAACGAAGTGCGATTCAAACGGCGGCAACAGGAACGGCAAGAGGAAGCACGTCGGAATAAGCTAATGGCAACGATCTTTTGCAAGAGATTGCAGCAAAAAGTATTGAGGGGCCAAGTAGATTTATCTCAAAGTGTTAGCGTTATATCGAATTTGTAGAATTATTAGCGCCTACTTGTGTAGAGTGCTGTCCCGTTTTCGCAAATACCCACAACAAGAGCTATCTCACAGATTTTATTGAAATTTTGTTACCATAATTCTCGCAGAATTTAGATATTAAAAAAATAATACTTGTCATGCATAAGATATAAGAGTTTGGCGATTTTTATAAAAGAATATCGTTAAAATTTATTCCGAGAAACGTAATTAATAAAAAATTAATATTTATTTTTAAAATTTTTAATAAACAAAATATACATATTGTATTTTACAACTACAAACAAATATATCTCACTGCAAAATTATTCAAGTCAAATAAAATAGTGCAATTTAAAATAAGTAAATTTTAACAAAGTCTAAGAGATAGTTCTTAATGACATGCATACCTTAGTTTCTATAAACGCCTATTCTTAAGTGAGAAAGTTCTAAAATATTCTATTTCTTGAAGAAGAGATATATACGTTTGACACTTTAATTGTATTATCTCAGGTAGTTGCGTTAAAATTTGTATTACAATAATGTGTGTCTTTAGTAAAATTGCATAATAGGACTCGGATTAGATGATATTTATGAATATGTATTACAGACAATAGAAGATCTGATCTGTTTTACTTAACGTACAGGAGAGTTACTCGCGCAACTTTATCGTTAGAGTTTATCTTTAGTGCAAACGAGTGCAAACGACATGACTAAATAGTACAAAAGGATATCGAATCTTTTTACACGTTTTTTATATATTATATATACTTTACACGTCATAGATACAAGAACATTTTTTAGGACAATGATCTGTATGTTTCAGTTTCTGTTTTTTATAAATATGGAAATTAGATGAATACTCCGGTATAATTTCGCTGACTATGTATTTAAATACAAATACAATTATCTATGCCAATAAATAAAAGCTAATTATAATAAAGTTCTTTACATACAGATGGCATAAAAAATTGAATTTAGCGAAGTTATATCGGTATTAATTCTTGATAGAAATATAACGGTAATAAATTCATGTTTATTCGATGCACAGTAACAAAATTTATTTTCAAGTAGTATAACATATCATTGAAACATACCATCGATCATAAAAACTGAATGCTTTAAAATATAAAACATAATTAAAAATGTACGTAGTACCTGAATCTTGTAGTATAGCAGTTTTTTATTGCATACGAAATAAAACGTTCTAAGGAATTCTTAAAATATATGTATACTTTCAAAGCAGCGAAGAATGTCGCTTTATTCAACTTCTTATAACATTTATATACATATAAAGCTCTGTCAGTTGAGCAACCACGACAGCATAATATCACGCTTAACGCGATTCGATCTAACGCATATATAATGAAAGATAGAAAACGTCAAGGCAGATTTGCGTGATTTAATTAATCTAGGAATATGCGTATCATTTTGTGAAACCAGATATTTTATAATCGATATATTTTTTATAACTTTTTAATATATTGAAACCTGAAACATGCAACGCGTGTGAGAAACGAGAAGCTTGAAAAATTAAAACTTCGCTCTCGAGAGATATTTCTATTTGATTTTTTTTTAAATACTGTCGTTTACTAATTATTGTTTTGCAATTTTTTAAATATATTTCCGCGCGCTCCATTATAACCGTATTCTTTATATATTTTAGATTTAATTTTTTTTACTCCATTTTCTATATTTTTTTGAATAATCTTTCATTATTAATATTCCATTTTTTTGCTCCAAAAGTTCCAAGTAAATGCTCATTTCATTCTAATTCTAACAATAAGTGCGGAAAGCGCAACGTAAGGCAGCTAAAAGAAACTTTCCGCTTTCTCGATTATTTTCGGATGTTTCATTTTGGAGAAAATTGAAAAAAAATTCGCGTTTTATTATTTCGAATAATAGACAGAGTGGTATCTCAGGAAAATGTACGTTTGTGCATTCATTGTCTGGCATTTTTCGTTGTTGGGGAAAATTTTATTTTGTCGAAGGACACATTCGGTCCGTTGTTCTCGCGAACTGGATTCCGGCGAATAACGCGACAATGACCGCGACCGGTTACAGAACGGCGAATTCGTTCTTCCATCGTCGATTGGTTCCCCGCGCACGAGCGAGCGCCCGTACTTTCTCCCGGGGAATGTGCGGCTGCAGCGGTTGTGCGTGGAACCGTGTCCCACGAAGGCCGATTCGGCTTTCTAGTCGCGTTTCCGCTCGTTTCCGTTGCCGCACGAGAGAGAGACTGGCGAGGATCGGCGTGGCGTCCAGCGAATTCGCCGTGTGATACACGCAGTTTACCCTCCGTTATCCGTCAATCCGCGTCCCCGTTATCGCGCGTGTGGTGACCGCGTACGGATTGCTCAATCGCGAATTTAGTCAACCACACTGACTCGTCTGATTATCAGCGATGAATCGCCACGATTGCACGTAGTTTCCCGATCGTCTGTCCGTTCCATCGGCTTCTCGCTATTGGCGATCTCGTGGGTATCCCGATAAGAGTCAACGACACGCTTTGGAGCGCTCATGGGAGGAAGATGATCAAGCGATGGCAGGTGTCGTGAGAAAGAAGGGAACGAATGCTCTCGTGACGCTTCTAGGATGCTTGTTTCTTTCTTGCGGTAATTATCAGCCAGAGAAATAGTGCATATTAAGGGAAATATATATTCGTGAAAAAAAAAATCGAAAACATATCGCTTTATCCGGCGTCGATGTCTCCGACGAATACGAGTCTGTGCAGTGCGCGCGGCAGGAAATTTGGAGCTCGGAATTATTCGGAGCGAAATTCTTTTTTAAAGAATTTATATATTTTTATATTTTATTTTTTACATATTGTTTATAATACTTAACTTACATATACGTATTACCTCGATCGTACTAAGAAATTGCAACATTAAAAATAGCTAAACAAATATTTTCAATTTATCTATACACAAATATTTCAATTTGTAAAAAAAAAACGAAAGTAGAAAGTAACATTGCAAAATTAAATTTTATTAACATTGCAGAATTGGAAAATTGTATTTTATGCTATTGTTTCTAAGAAATTTCTTGATTTATTAAATATTTCGAATAATGTCAGCAGCTTATGCAGAGGAGGATAATGGAGAAAAATACAAAGGAAAATATCTGGGAAAATTAAATCCGTATCATCATCAAGTTTCCGGCGACGTCTGGGCTGTGGACCAGTACACTTTGCTGCTGACATCCTTTAATTACGATGGCAATGGAGCTGACACATTTTTCTGGGCAGGCGCATCAAATAGACCAGGCCCGCAAGGATTTATTGTCCCCGATGAATGGAGCAAGTAAGCTATATTTCTTTCCGTTAATTTGAAAAGAGAACCTGACGAGATTTTGAAGATAAAGTGCAGAAAATCGCATCTCTCGAGTATACGTGTGTTCTTTCAGAACAAACATATTGGACCGTTACTTTAACAAGGATTTTACTTTAACCCTGCCGGATAATAAGAAAATAACGGATATCAAGTGGTTCGCAGTGTACGATTTAGCGAGTCAGGTATTACGAATTTTATGAACGATATATTAAGATTTCGTGTATACGGTATTCGTATTTAACATTTAAGTATCAAATATAAGATAAAGAACAAGAATTACTTATTAAATCCATAGACAGAGTCGCCGATGGCTTGAAATGTTATTTTTTAATAATAATTTTTTAATAGAACACCTTCGGCGATGTCTACATTCCGGAGGAGTTTGACCCACCCGCGCCTCAAAAAATATCACAGCTATCGAAAAGATCTCACAATGTCTCGTCAGAGCCCATCGTGATCCTGGATTCGAAAACAATCAGTATTCCGCAATTCAACTACGACGGGAAAGGTGCGGACACGTACTTTTGGATCGGTCTTGGCCCGCAACCATCCAGCAAGGGCCAGAAAGTGCCCGATGAATACGGATAGTAAGAAGAATAAAATAAAATTATAGACTCCTATCGATGCGAATAAATTAATTATAAATTATAATTAAAAGTCTCGTTTATAAATTATCGCAGAAACAAGGGATCCAGCTTGAAATCGAGGCTGGCGCCAGCACAATCGAATGCGACTTATGTCAAAATAACTCGCTATTTATTTGCAAATTAATACCGGGATTAGGGCCATCAATTTGCAAATAAATAGCGAGTTTACACAAGTCGCATTCTACACTTCTACACAAGTTCGATTGCCTCACGACTGTAATTAAAAATATTTAGAAGTATATGTAAAACAGCACATTTCTCTCTTTCTAGCATGGATTCTCTCAGATCGTATAATAACGAGGATATCATACTGGAGCTGCCAGGCGACAAGACCATCTTCAACATAGACTGGCTAAGTGTTTTCGACGTAAAGTCCAAGTCCAATTACGGTTCTGTCATTATACCCGACGGGCTCAACGTACCGCCGTCGTTGATAAAAGTTCTCAAGCAAACCAAGTCACTCCCGAATTGCGTTCAGCTGCACAAGCGATATCAGGTCGCATGGGAGATTTTCGGTCCGCAGATCACCATTCAGTTGGCAGGTCAAGTCGGTACGTATAATTTGCTCATAGATTCTCAATTATCTCTTTAAAAAAATCGAAATTCGAAAGAGATCGCTCGCTTCCGATTTTTCCAGCCGAGGACGAATACATGGCGTTCGGTTTGTCCGGTTCCGAGACCTCCAGCCGAATGGAAGGTGCGGATGTGGCTGTTGCGTACATGGACGACACACGAGGATATGCCACGGACTACAACATTACGGCAAAGGCGCCAGTGTGTAAAGTTATTTAAGTAATAAGTTCGCGAATAGAGGAAAGAGGCAAAGAAACGAAGGACGCAACATATTAACGCGCGTTCTAATGATTGTGACAGTGTGGGAAAGTTCTCGGTCAGTACAAAGGGGTCTGTAGAGACGAGCTTCTCGGTGGTTTAGACAGCAACCAGCTCTTCACCGCGGTGAGAGAGGACGGCATCAATACCATCACGTATCGACGTACACTTATTCCATGTGAGTCACGTAGCCGCGCGCGTTTTTCTCTTTTCTTTTTTTATAAATGCTCATTATACGATGTAAAAATTTTACTTTTTCGCACAGCTGATGTCGGAGACAAAGATTTTCCCACGGATAAACCGGTGTACGTGGTTTGGGCCTTGGGTAGGCTTGATAAAACTAACAACGAACCGAGTTTCCACGATGTATATCCAAGGAGCGACGTGGTGCTCGAGTTGAGTCGTAAGGAACCGGAAAATACATGCATCGATTTCACGGAGCATAATAAGAAAATCTTCTCTAGGTGCGAAGTACATTTTTATCATACATATGTATATGTGTATATATCAAATTATTTTTTAATATTACAAATAATATATTTTTTTTGTGAGGGGGGAGAAGGATTTTCTTAAGTGACTACTGATCACTTTTGCAGAGAACCTTGGCAAAAAACGGAAATATTCGACAGAAGCGTTAGAACTTTCAAAGCAACCATCGGACCCTCCGGGGGCAAACGGGGGTATGAAGGAATCACAGGTATAAAACTTAATTACTAAATAATTTTCGGCAATCGTTTATCTCTTTTCCGACGATACGCCGAGAAAAATCTACGAAATGCGTGTCCGCAGGTAAATCGTCGATGGGTCTCGCTTGGTACATCGAAGGCGCATTGATACCCGAGTTATACCTACGTCGAGGCTTGACGTACAGTTTCCGCGTTCACGGCGGGAACAATCCGCACAGCGCGGATCTCTATCATCCGTTAATAATAACCGACGAGCCTCACGGGGGATACGACACGCTCAGCGATCTTGCGCAAAGTAAGATCAGGGTGTTGGCTGGCGTTGAACTGACCAGGAGAGGTCGACCGCGACCGACCGCGGGTTCGTATAAATTTTCCCTACGCAAATCACGCTTACATATAAATTTAGATGTTCTCAGAGTCCTTCACTTGATTTCTTATTTTTCGCCTCGATTTTTCTTTCGGAAAAAACAGTGGCTGCTTTGAGATTAAAATTCTCGCAGCCACTTCAGCACAATCGAACTTGCACAAAAATTACCGCCTGTTATTCGCTAATTAACCGTCCGAATCACAATTTTTTGCTTCAGCCGTTTCGGAATAAACAATGGCTTATTTTTCAGTTGGACCGCTTTGCTTAAGCAAGCACAACGGTCGAGACAGAAGACTGGACGATAACTTCCCGTCGTTTAAGAAATTCAACAGGACCCTCGTGCAAGTCTGCGTGCCAGGTAAATTCTCCTTCGAGCTGAAATCCTTAACTTTCTTAAAAGGACGTTGATTACAATTCCGGAAACGTTCGCGTTTTTGTAGACGCATAAAGACGAATTGACGATTCGTAAAGATAATTCTCTCATGTGCAGGAGAAGGTGGCACTTTGGTAATAAGTCCAAACTCGACGTGGCCCGATCTGGTTTATTATCAGTCCTTCACGCACGCAAACATGGGATGGAAGATTCACGTGGTCGATTCTTACACGAATAAGAATAGTGCAATCGTACATAAATTGTCATTACTTGTTACAATCGCGGCTGTGCTTCGCGGTTTATTATAAGATTGAAGATTAAATAAATCGCGGAAAAATATTTCTATTATCAAATATTTTTTCTGCAATTTATTTAAATAGTTTACATAAGAATGCGCTAAATTATTTTTAACAAATTACTAATTCTTGCACTTCAACGTGTACATATCGATGATGCAACACGAGGAGACGCTGAATCACTGTGCGCGCTGATTTTATCGAAGAATCAAGAAACTATAATACAATAGTTCCTGTAATAAGCACTGCATTCCTTGCAGGTCATTGCAGAATTGCACGATTTAATAACGAGATAAGTTTTATATGCTCTCTCTCTCTCTATTTCACTATGAAATAAACTTTAATTTATGTCAATTTATATTTAAAGAATATTTAAAGAAACATTAATTTATGTCATAAAAATAAAAGGATATTAAACTTTCTCAAGTTGTTGCAATAACTTTTTATTTCGTATACTGTTTTAATTAGTCTAATTAATTAGTCTAATAGGATATCGTGAGCATATAAAAGACAACATACATTACACATGCAATGCATCGTGTTCGTTATCGAACAATGAGAAAATTGATGTAAGTATATCTTTAATATTTACGTGTTTAAATCAAATGCCAATTCCGTAATAATTCAAATAATTTCTCTTTTAAATCTCCTTGCAAAAATTTGCAGATTTTATCAAGGCAAGCAAGAACGTATCGTTTACTTCAATTGTATGTTTATATAATGCGTTCTCTCAATTAATATTCTCGCTCACATAATTAATACACAATAAATTGTAATGTTTTAACATCTGTAAACAAATGTTTCTAATAATCTCGAGTGTAAGATCTATGTTCGGTAATGTAGTTAAAATTTACAGATTCTTATGCAAAACGTTGACAAATCTTGCTTTATTTCTATTGACATCTCATACGGCATATCTGTCTTTACACCTTTACACTCCTAAATAAAATGCTGAAATACTTAAAAAGCAAGTCCATTTTAGTTACAATCTAGATATTCTAAATCTATCTTAAATCTTTAAGGCTGAAACTATGTGTTACATTGGCCACGTTCAGCAGAATGTTGCAATGTTCAGTTGCAATTTATTTTGGAAGTTCTCTTCGCTGAGACAGGATTATTTCTCTAGATGTAAAAGTATAATAATCCAATCGATGCAAAGCGCTGAGAATTGACTTCTGCGGCTATTGAACGCGGCTATTGTTTCTGTGTTATAATATCTCTATCAGTATCAAGTTTTTACAAGTTTTTGTGTATCAACTTCGAAATCGCACGTCTCAAAATTCAATGTGGTTGTTAATTTTTCAGCACTTGAAAGATATATATACATATATATTATGACTTTTATAAATCTCTTCACGTTGAAGATAATAACAAATTTAAACTATAAAGCGCGCTTAAAGAAATTAATTATATACATAAAAAATAAATTAGTAAGCAAAGCCGAAAAGCCTTAATAATTAGGATTCGGATGTTGATAAATAAACCTTAATAGCAGCTGGCAATACAACGCAATCGTAAGTTAGGCAAAAAAATGCGTTTAAGAACAATTTTTTGACTTTTTCGAATAACGAATATGATTGAGGATTTGATTTTATGATTTGTCAGAGATAATTTAATGTGAAAAACAATAATTTTAGAAATATAATTTATACGGCGATAAATAAAAAAAAGGAAATCTAAACTTACATTAAAAAAAAGAATTAAGAGAAAGCGTTCAATATTAACAAATGTCAGTATCATTTAATATTTAATATCAACATCCGAATAAAAAAAACGTTTATAATTAGTATAGCATAACATTAATACAAAGTAGATATAGAATATAAAGGCACTCTATTACAGTTCCTATATTAATGGCTAGAGCAATAAAATCATTGTATAATATCATCAACAAGATACTATTAAAGACCGACAATCTTATGGGAGTTAGTGACTTAAGATTTCAACAATTAGTCCATAATATAATATTAATTTTATATAATTTATTATTAAACCAATGTTTAATGTTTCTATTAGACATGTACACATACATTTACAAATTGCTAATATTTAATTTTATTTAAAATTGCATTTTTATATTTGATACCTTTTATATTTGATTATTCATAAAGATGGTAACTGTAGAAAAAAATTGTAATTTTGCAACGATATATATAATATTAAGGATTATGAATATGCCTACTTATTTGCATATGTGATGTTAGCCTATAATATTCACGTTACAATATATTACAGAATTCCAGACCTGTTAGTACCGCAACATCGCTTGTAAGCGCATTCTGAGTATTGATCAAAGTTTCTAATAAAAAATCATGATTCGGTCTTTAACAGTATTGTCACTCGGTAATGATAAAAATCAGTGAGAAATAATCTTTCTATAAAACAAATAGATATTTATAGAAAAGTATCATACGCAACAATTATTACTTATTGAAAATTATTTTTGAAAATATTTTAAATATAGAAATAAAAATCTTCTTAAAATAAAAAAATTATTAATAAATTAAAATTATATTCTTATTTTTATATAATTATTGTTTATATCTTCAAAGAAAAAAAGTGAGATTTAAAAAATATTTTAAATATAGCTCTCTTTCTGAAACAAATAATTTATCAATAGATAAAAATTATTGCACATATATTCTTATTTTTATACAATTATTGTTTGTATCTGTAAAGAAAAAAAGATCGACAGAATTTCAGAATATCTGAAAGAGCTAGAAAGACTTCAGTGTGCAGATTTCCCTTAAACAATATCTTGCAATACCTAAGAATGGCTGTCTAAGATTGCAAGAATCTCTTAATATTTAATTAAATTACGCGAGTCGCTGTACAGAATTATTAAAAAAACGATATTTTACATATTGCAAAGTGTCTCATCACGAGAAAATTAGTTTTTATAGAAGCATTCTCTTCTCATTCAGTCTTTTCACTTTGATGTCTTAAGCTTGTGTGCACAATCACATTTACAATTTAGATCATATACTTAACAGGAGAACTCTAAAAATAGTACTTTCTTTATAATTAAAATTTTGACATTAATGTTACATTTTGCAATTTTAACTTTACATTACGTTTTGTCTATGATGTGCTTATAATTAGCGTTAACTAATTATAATTAACATACACCTTTGTTCGTCATACAGGATCTTAAGACCGACCACCTGAATAACATCCATAATTTTGGAGATAGGAAAAAAAATGCTTTAAGTAAGTTATTTTGTATCGAAGTCGATGTGTAGAGCATCGTGCGATGGTGAACTTTTTTCCCCGATGGCGCTTAGGAGATTTAAATCATCATTTTTTTAAATAAAACATTGTCGGACACCTATTTGTAGCTTTCCAAGTAAATAAAAATTTTAAAAAACGGCAAATACGTCAAATTAATAAAGTCGAACGTTTTGGTTTACTTTCAGCGAGATAATTACAAAATTTGAATGGATGTATTCTACAGACCGTGAGTCGGAAAACTCCCTGCCAGAGGAGACGTCAGAAATGTATCAGTCGCCAGAAACCGACATAGTGGACAGAAATTCCACATTTAATATTCGGTAAACAGCAAAGATAAAATGATACATCATGTATTTTACTATAGGTGTTATTCAGGTGACCGGTGAGTAGGCTCACCCTTTATATGAATTCTTTGATATTGTCGTACATTTTGGAATTATAACAAAATACATTGCAAGACTGTTCTTAATAAATATCCGATAGATTCATTTGAAAATATTATCAATATCATTCTCTATGAAGTTCTAGGAACGAACGTAACGTAATAGGTAGTTCTGTACTACGAATTCCATATTTACAAACAGCCTGCGCGGCCTGACACTGAAGGCTGGTATATTTAAGGATATTCACGGTATTTCCCGGATTAGACGCTATCAATCGCGCTGGTGTATCCCCCGTTCTGTTTGGCGTGTCCAAATGCGCGCCATGATCCAGCAACAATTTTACCAGCTGTTACAAACAAAGGTTCTTAATGTGTGAATCGTGAAATTTGATTTATAAAACTTCTATACAGAGAATATATAAGGAACAGTACTTACAGAGTTGTGGAAGTTGTATGCATTACTTGCTATATGTAAAGGCGTCGACCGCAATATATTTCTAGCATCGACATATGCCCCACAATCCAAGAGTAATTTAACAACATCCAAACGTGGAAAGATCGTCTAAAAACATATACTTATACATTAGCTATATATATTTCCTTCACATATCATCTAATTTATATGGTCGATTTTTCCATCAAATAAATATCCAGAGAACGATAACTTTTTAATTCTAGGACATTTGATGCACACGTAATACGCTCATACTTACATGCATATCGTCGGCAAAAGTAAAATAACTAGAATTAATCGTATTTAAGCCGGAAACGCAAAGATGGAGAAGCGTGTCATCTGTATAAACAGATCTTGGATTTTGTTTCACCAAATCACGGACTAGTTGGTGCATTAGAGCTTTCTCCTCGTCCGAACTCGCCGTTTCTACCAACAGGTAAATAAGATGCGTCACGCACTTCAGGATACGTTCGTAACTGTCTCTTTGTCTCTTATGCACGGGACGTTTCTATAATATTCACATTTGTATAATTAATTGTACGGCAATATAAAAATATCAATACGCATGATTCTCTGAATCATTTATATGTATATACGCGAATCACATACCTCCAACAACTCTCTAGCTTCCGTCAGTTGGCTGGAAAGTAATTTAAATATGGCTACTACGTCGCAAAATCGCGGCTCCTGCTTCTCTCGATTACGATCCATCACTTCCAACGTTTTTTCATTCAGATCTACCATAAGCCTTACAAGAGCTTGCGCGGTAAAGCAAGTATCCGCGTACAAGATCTGCGAAAAAACATCGATAAAATTTCATTAATTTTTTTACGTACGATGGAAAAATTACATCATACACATCCATAATTATACAAGACGTTAACATGTTTTACATACCGAGTCCTTTTCTACCCTAATTTCTAACGCGCGACGCCAGAGATCTATACAATTCTGATACCTACGGGAAAAAAATCCTCTTGTGACAAAGTGTATTTAGTGATACGAAATAGTGTTAAAAAAAAATTTTAATATTTACCTTAACGCATCTGCATACGAGGCACCTCTAAACATCAGCCGAAAGAGGGTATCCTTGTGATGCGGGCCCAATATCCTCTCGCATATCAGCAGGCTTTGTATTCTTATTGCGTCTAAGTCGAGCGAGATAGCGCTTAGCTCTTCCAAATTCGAAAACTCCGTCGCGTGTTTGTAAGCCTCGCGTTTTAGTAACACAGGTCTCTTTGGCAAAGGCATTCCGTTTTCCGAGTTGACCATTCGTAAAATCATCGCCGATCTCCAGTATTGCAACGCCATGTGCGTGTCGTTGTGATCGTCGAAAAATGTAGATCCCATCAGCTCGTTCGCGTCTGCCAATCTTTCCGGGGAATACGATACGTTTTCCACTAAATTACATACAGGCGCCATAAATATCGTGAGAAAATAGGGCGTAAATTTCTTATCATAGAGATGAAGCAACCGTGTTCCAATATTATACAATGAATCATCTCACCTAAATAATCAAATATCTGAATGGCTCCTTTAAGGCAGGCAGTCTGGAGAGCATCGTCGTTATAACGAGATCTAAGATGAGGGTCTGCATTATGTTCTAAGAGCAGTTTGGTAGTTCGCAGTCTGTGCTCCTGTATAGAGTAATGCAAGGCAGTTTTGTTCTGAATGTCAGTGGCATTCACGTCCGCGCCGTGTTCCAACAGGAAAGTACATAGCTCCACGCTTTGTACAGAGTTTATCAAACATGTTCCGCCGTTATAATTCGCTTTTAATATATCGGCGCCGTTATTCACTAAATAAGCGACAATGTCTGAAAAATATATGTTATCCATGTGTTTAAATTCATTCTATTAATCCAGATTGTCTTGTGCTACTTCAATGCAATTATACTTGCTGCAACTTTGATTATGTGGAAAAAATTTAATAACAGACAAAAGTATCATTGGCAAATTACATTAAATTATCAAATTTCGTATGAAATCAAGTAAAGTCTACACTTAATTATAAAATATCTAAATGATTTCCTTAATAATTTCACGAAGAAATTAGCACAGATTGCGACACTTGCAAAGAATCTAAAAGTAAATTTGACCTAGACTTAAATACCTAGACCTAGACCTAGATCTAGATATGACATACAATCATATTTTTAATTCTAATTTAATTTTATTGCAAACACATATTGCTTTTATTGCAAAATATTTATCTATATTTAATACTTTCGATTAAAAAAAATTATGACTGTACTTTATTTTAATTAAAGAATTAAGTAAATAAAGAATTATACGTGAGAAGAATAAAGTTATTATGTTTCAATACTTCTAATTATCATTTCTGCGTTTTAAATCACTTTAACATATCATCTTTATCTTTAATTCCAATTATTTAAATTCATATAATCTACATGTATAGAAACATATACATCTGTTTCAACGTTCCTTTGTTCTATGTTCTTTAAGAGATATACAATATTCGTTATCTTTATACATCTATTCTGTCTTCTCCCACAATTGTATTTCAAACAAATGATATGCAATTTGTTACCCATGTGCGTCATGAAGCACGCAGATCTAACAGGTGTGGATCCAGAATCGGAGACCGCGTTGACGTCAGCTCCGTGGAGTATAAGGCATTTTATAACTTCCAGGTTTCCGGACACTGCGGCGCACCAGAGCGGGGTGACGCAGTGAACCGACCTGTCGTCCGGCACCTCGTACTTTCCCCTTTGTTCGATGTCGGCGGCGCATTCCGTTATGAGATACTCGACAATCTCCACGTGGCCCCTCTTGCAGGCGATGAACAACGGGGCGCAGCCATCCTTCGTACGCGCCACAATCTCCCTCCGCACTTCCTCCTTGTACTTCTCCAAACGATTCCTCAGCGCGTAAGTGAGCTGCGCCCCCGGTGCCACATATTTACATTCGTGAATGAGATCGAGAAATAGCTGATCCATGGGGACGTTCCGGCAATGATGAATTATTACCAATCCACATTGCCCACTTCCCGAAGCGATTCAAATGCAGCACCCCGCCCCATCCGATTCACAGACCTGAAAGGAATGTTGGTTCAAGGTGAAATGCGCTTCGAACTGACTACCGTGAATAATTACAGGTCAACTAATACAAATATATTACTGGGTCTGTTCTTCGTAGCTGTGCAATGTTATCCCTTCCACACTCAAAATTAATATAAATATCAGACATTAGTCAAGAGTCAAGAGAAGGAATTGAAAAAAGCTCAGCTACAAAGAACAAACCAATTGTTCTCTAAAAATATACAATATAACACTTGTTGGAGTAACACTGAATATCGTAGCTTGTATATGTTTCAACTTATAACAATGTATTCGCATTCAATGCACCCCAGGGAGAATTGAACCACACAATTCTTTGGGTTTTGCAAACCTGCGGACACTCACATAACGGACGTACACACAAATACATTATTGATTTTGTGTTCGGAAAAACCGTGTTATTTTAACGTACGCTGCAATTACGATATCCACTGACTGATTCTACACAAAGAAGCTGACCGAATTGGAGCCATTATGACACGAAGTAAAAAAAAAAATAAACTTTTGTTGATATAAATACAACGAAAAGTGCAGCAAACAAATTCATCACTGAATTGATGGAAAATTTATTTAAAAAAAAAATCGGTACCAGGCAAACGCGAAAGTAGAAGAACGTCTGAAGAGAATATCCGTGAATAAACGAACAAAGATACGCACATACGAGCTCCCCGATTTCTTCAAGGTTGCTCCCCGAGCGCGTAAATTTCAACGGCTGTGCGTTTCCTCGATCAGACCCCACACGTTCGTCGAGACTTTTACAGAAACTCAAGGATACGGAATTGCGAGCACACACATACACGCACACACGCGCGCACACACGTAAGCGGCACTCGTGAATGTACACGCGTCAAACGAGACGTCAGTCGCACGCACGAGCGGCGTGTGCGTGTGGACACACGGACGGGACATAACCTCCAAGGCTGCCCCGCCGCGAACTGCACCGAAGGCGCGCGATCGTCGCCGTTCGACGGTCGCGCGAACCTCCGGGGATGGATCTCGCGACGAGCAGGCGGAGAGACTTACCTCTAACACGAACGGTCATTGCTAGGCGAACGGGGGGCATCCGAGTCAAGTGCATCGACGATCTCAGGCAGCGCACTAGTAAATCACAGATGGCAATCAATAAACCACGTGATCGTCGACGGTGGGGAGCGTCACGTGACGGGCCCACGCGCAGTTTCCGCGCGCACTCGACTAGACCCTTTAAAATCACATCTTGCATCCTTGATACCAATATATTTCTCTATTTTTCTTTCTTTTACTCCCAATCGACTCTTTCTTCGTTTTCGAAACCGAAAGTTTTCTAAATTTCTGTTTTATTTATATTGCAACTGTATAACAAGACGTACTAAAACTACTTCTTAATTTATTTTTCAAACGATCGTTGCATCCTTGATATCAATATTTTTCAATTTTTTTTTCTTTTACTCCCAATCGCCTCTTTCTTCGTTTTCGAAACCGAAATTCAAAGTTTTCTAAATTTCCATTTTATTTATGTTACAACTGTATAACAAGATATACTAAAACTACTTCTTAATTTATTTTTCGAACGATCGTTGCATCCTTGATATCAATATTTTTCAATTTTTCTTTCTTTTACTCCCAATCGCCTCTTTCCTCGTTTTCAAAACCAAAATTCAAAGTTTTCTAAATTTCCGTTTTATTTATATTGCAACTGTATAACAAGATATACTAAAACTATACTTCTTAATTCATTTTTTCGAACGATTGTGCGTGCATTTCCGCGGCGGTCTCTCGTTTTTGCTTGTTTTTTTAAGTAGCAATTTTTCGCTAATTAGCGAGATCTCAATATTTTCAGCAAAAAAACAATTCTTTTTTCGAAATCAGAGTCTCTTAATTAATTTTTATTCATTAAATACACGATTTAAGCTCAATAAATTAAATTAAACAATGGACAATCAAGGGCAAATGAGCCAAAGGACTGAGTCGACAAGGCACACAGGGGATA